CTATGCGTGTGTGTGTGTGTGTGTGTGTGTGTGTGTTTATCTTCTGCGCTTGAATTTTGATGCAATAATGACTGAAATTGGAGGGTATCAACGAATGAATGACGTCGTTGTTTGATCAGACCTGTCTGCTTTCAAAAGAAGGAATGAATCTGTGGGACGGAGGAGATGATGTCCGAGATGATTCGTTCTCTTCCATTCGTTGGGACAACTCCGACCTCGACGAAACCCTGACGTGGCCTTTCGGGACTGCAATCAAATCATGAACATGAACGACTGATTGACTATGCATGACTGACTCGGGCGACTCTAAATTGGCGGTCGGAGGAAGGACCAGATCGTCATTCAAAATCTTCAATCTCGCGCGTTGACATCTATCTTTCATCACCGTCATCAATAATGGTAGACCATCCTTCCAGAAAAGTGTGAAGATGCAACAACAAATACTTCTACTTTCCCTTTGGCTGGTGTCACTTTTATCAGTGCCATGTTCCTCTTTTACTAGTTGTCCCACAAAATGCTCCTTTCCATCTCCTCCTACCACTAAAACTGCTGGTGAGACCACTCATTTGTTCGCATCCTCCCCCACCACGTCACAAGTGGATGATTTGCTATCACAATTGCAAAAGGAAGCCAAAGAAGTAGGAGAATGCGCTCAGATCTTGGGAGAAGCTATTTTCAAATCCGACGCGGAAGTAAAGGCCGAAGATATTGTCCAAATATGCGATGCTTTGGATGCGTTGAAAGAGCAATCATCAGAGAACGACAACGGTGACACCTCGACACTCGTCAGCAGCAGACTCCAATTGCGGAAGCTTGCCCTTCAAACCAAACGATACGAATGGTTGGTCAAATTAATGAAAGCAGACTACGATGCGTATATTGCCACTGCTTCCTTTGTGAGCCCGTCGAGAATTCCAAGAATGGAATTGCCCAATCTACAAGATGTTCCCATGGATAACACATTATTGACCAATGTGGAGAAGGTGGATGCTGCTACTGCTACTGCTACTACTACTAATGCTTCTAGTAGTCAACTAAACGATGAGAATACTGGACTCCCATTAGTGGCCGACTGCGAATTGGACAATATGGAATACCAAGAATCCTTGTTGGACAAGATCCTGCTAAGCATCTTTCGCAAGTTGGTCGTTCAAAATACTGGTGGAGTGACCTCGGAAAAGGAATCCATTTTGGGATTGGTGGAACAAGCCCGAACTTACATGCTCCAACCAGGCCAGACGGCAGAAGCCCAGCACAAAATGGTCAAGGATACCCTCGCTGGATTGATGACTCCCGTCTTGCCGCCATTTTATCGAATTTTCATGTCCGGCATTGTTCCCAAAAATTTGGGCACGGACTACGATGGCAAACAGTTTGGTCCCTGGTTTTACGCTCCCTTCTTGACGTCCTTTGTGACTCCCACCTTTTTTGGCTTTTTGGTAGGTCCCTCGCATGTCAACCGGCGCAAGGATGGACGATTGGGTGGACTGGTGGTGGAAAAGTGCAAATTTCTCCAAGAATCTGGATGCAAGGGCCTGTGTCTGCACCAATGCAAATTGCCCGCCCAAGAGTTTTTCAAAGACGAATTAGGCTTGCCCTTGACCGTCCAACCCAATTTTGAAACCCAAGAGTGTCAATGGAGTTTTGGAGAACTACCTGTACCACCCAAAGAGGACCCTTACTTTCCATCGGGGTGCTTGGTGGGATGTGAATCACGCAAACAAATTGCGGCGAATGGTGGGAACGCGGATGCTTGCAACTAAAACTATGTAATTGGTCATTTTCTATATATATATACACATACTGTATCTATTATTGAATATATATGTGTGTACCAGGTACTGTTGGAGTTTTAGCAACGATGCTGCGAGTTGAAATGGATGTGGATATCTTTAGTATCAATCGAGCGTGTCGATTGAGAACTTGTATAGCTTCATTTCATTTCAATCGAGTGTGAGTCACATCCAAATTTGGCGTGCCATACGCATGATATTTGAATATTATAGTACGAGTACCGGCGATTATTGCTCTATTCCTACAGTACTCAATCGCTTTGGATTTTGCAGACTCCAATTGGGCCTAAGAGAGTTCCAATGATGTTTTTGGGCTGACAGTTGTTACTAGCTGTTGGCCCCCAATCCCCCAGCGCAAGCACTGGTGGTTTCCCTCCATTTGGCCATCTCGTTGCCGTCCCCGGTGTGGTGGGTGGGAAAGACGCTAGTGTTCGACGTGATCAACGAGAACATCGGTCAAGTGTTGTATCAAAGGCTTGGACTGGGTGTGAAGGTACCAGAAGACTTTATCTGAGCGCCATCGGCCAAGCAGTTTGATGAGACTAGTCGGGATATTGCCTTCAAGAAGGTCGTTAGCCCTGGTGCATCAAAGAGCACAGAGAGAGAGCAACAGCTCTCAAATATGTTGTCATCATTCAATTGATCACATTGCAAGCGACTCCAAACTTGGAGTAGTAGATGAACAGTGGGATCTTACTAGTTGTGTGTTGACTCTGTCGAAGGTGTTGGACGATTGCGATCAGCCAGCGTTGCGGTTGGGTTGTCAGCATTGATTGACGTGCCCAGACCGATCTTTTTTTTTTGTCAAAAATCATACCGGCAAATGTCACAACAACAAGTGGCGTGTCCAGGAGGCGGAGCGGAATGATGTCGCCACAAAATTCAGTGCCTCTGAAGCAAAAAACCACTTGCTTCAACCTTGAAGGGAAATTGGGTTCCTATTTTTGACAGTTATTTGCCAGGGCGTAACAAAAAGAAAAGTCTCAGTCACATCAATTGATTCATTGCCTTCACGGCATTGGTGCTGGTGGATTTTGTGGCAAGCTTGGTTGTTGCTTGCCGTACTAGCAAAGCTCCATGCAACAGGCAAACTTGTTGCGCTGCTGGATCAGCCTTCTTTGTGCCGGGCGCAAAGCAATTTGTCCTCAGATTAGCATTCTCAATGAGGAAAAGGCCTGGCCCACCTGACGCATGGCATCTTCAGCCGTTCGGCCCCAGACCTGTCTCTTACTGGGGGCAATTTTTTCACCTTGTCATTGGGTTCCAAACAGGGGGATGAGGATGAGCAAGGGATCATCAACTGTTGACAATCCTGGATCAAGGTGGAGCAATACAGTTGCAGAAGGCAACCCATGTGGTCCAGACAGAGTGTGCCTTTGCAACTCTTGACTGACAGACTCTGCTTTTGATTCCAAGTTCAACAGCACGGAGGTCATCAAGGAGTTCACGGCGTTTGGCATCCTGTACAGTACAGTTGCCAAGAGTTGATCTGTGGGTACATGCGATTAAAATATAAAACAAAGTAGTTGTCAGACAGAAAGGTGCCCAAGTCGGCTGGCACCGTTGGCCTTTCAATTATCCACTCCAGATAAGTACCCAATATGATGATGTCCTTGCAGTTCTCCTTGCAATCCTGCCCCCAATGGCAATATTCTTGTTCCTGCCTTTTGGGATGTGGAGGATCCCTTTGTGCGTCACAATGCTGCTGGTGTGTTGTCACAGCCAGTATAGTAGGTAGTCTTGCCTTCCACCTTGGCTGTTTTTTTCAAGGACAAAATGGTGTAGGACAGTGCGTTCCAGTTCCAGATCTGAGCTGGTAAGTTTTCCTGTCAAATTGTGATCTGAAATTACTTCCCTTTGCATGTCCTCTGAGTATGGTTCTTGCCAAACAATGGCTTCTCTAGCATCTGCGAACCACACTCCTCCTCTTCCTAGTTTTGCTACATCAGAGGCACCAATGTGTAGATCAAACACCTGGTACCAGTTCTGCAAGTGTTGTGGGGCGCTTTGCATGGCCATGAAGAAAATCTTGGAAGATTTTTAGTTGCTCACTGACCTCAGGAGTCAACCACACCCTACAATTCACCTGTCACAGCAAGGGAAAATGTCCCTCACTGCCTGGCATATCTGGCTGCAAACTTTGCAAAACTCCTAACACTTGTTGCCATAGTTTTAGGGAAATTTGTTTGCAATCAAGGACCTCGCCCAGGAGTGTCATGGCCTTGCTCAGTCTTTGTTGTGGCTCCCCAGTTCCAGCCCAAGGCTTCTTTGACTGTGTGCCAGGAGGCGTCCCCCTTTGCCATATTTGACTGTGACTGGGGCTCCTTTTGCCATTGGTTGTCCGTGGATTGATTTGAACGGAAGACCTTGTTGATGCTGTGACTGAGGACGTGTCGCTGATTTTCCAATGGGTTGCTTGTTGGACTCTGGTAGGCTTCCTCCATGGTAGCATGTCACCACTTAGGTGCCCAGGTCTGGTAGGTTTTCTTCAACATTTGTGCCGGATCTCACCAAGCGCTCAAAATAGCGATTGATGTGCAAATAGATTCCAAATAAGAATCTTTTGAGAGCTCGCTCTTGCTAGGACACTCCCATCTTTTGTGCGATGGAATCCACGTTCTTTGCAAACTTCTCAAGCACAGTTGTCAGTGGGTGTGTCACTCTGAACACCACATGGTAGAATACCCAACGGAATTGCAAGGGATCCTTTGGGAAGATTGCGTGCTTGATCTTGTTGTGGGCTTGACAATCTTTCATTGAGGCAGTCATTTTCTCTCCAGTCAACCAATAGCTACTCTTGTTATAATCGTTGATCGCATTTGCATTTTTGAAGTGTTGGAAATATACACAGTTGAAACGATGAATTCAAAGTTGAGATTGAGCTTCTCAGCTTCATTGTCCAGCAAGGACTGCACGACTCCAACCGATTTGTGTTTTTTACACTTAGCTAGCTCGTGCCAGAGGGTGGAGAGCTGAACTGAGGTTGTAGTGCCAGCAACTCTCTTCAGATAAGAGAGCCTTGTAGGCCACTTCTTTTCCACTGTATTTGGAGGCACCTTGCCCGACGCTTGGCCATGAAATTCCGCTACCAATGCCTCCAAAAGCGATTCCACAGAGGTCTTAGTAGCAGTTTGTAGGTCTTGTCGGTTTTTCAATTGAGTCCTCTGAGTCCAGTTGGGCAAGATCAGAGCTGATTACTCCAGAAACCTAACGTCTGCCCAATGTCGCAATGAGAACAGTTGGTTCTCCAATGTTCTTCAAAAGCTGGTGTCTCCTGATGACCATGTTTGTCACGCACCAATGATCCACAAAGTGCCGGGACTTTTCCATCACTTCTGAAATCTTTTTTGGCTCATCGCTATCAGCGAGAACTTTGATTCTGTCAACCACCAATTGCAAGACTTCACATGCCGACGATCTGTCCCAAGTAATATCCAAGAACTCCTTCAGAATGGGCATTTGCTTGTGTGTAACCAGTAGCTCATAAACAGTTGCCGGATCTTTGTCAGTGATATCTTCCATCACAAACAATTTAGATTGATCCTGCTCCAGTTCTTTGTGTATCAACCACACTTCCAACTTGAAACCTCAACCGGATTGGTTTTAGAGAAGGCTTTCGCCGGCCAAGAGAACGCCAGTAGGTCCTTGCTCCTGTTATCCAAAACGTCGCCATCTAGAACACACATTTTATCAAAGTGAAGTTCTTTCTTTGTGCCAACTGTGGTGTGCCCACTAATCATCGGCCGGTGCCAGAGATGAAAGTTGCTCTCCTGTTCCTTGGGCCATCCTGCGTACCATGTTGGGGCACCTCCTTGAAAAGGCTGTTCAGATCTTGCAACTGAAGGTCTTGGGTTGGATCAAAGGCGTCAAGGACCGCCGTGGAATCATGGTTCGGGCAGCTTGCCTGTGTGGTGAGGTAGCTGTAGCTCTTTTTGCGCTCGGCGAAACCGGTAATGGTCATGGTGATGGGTGTTGTTAAAATTAGAAGAGCCGTGTGCTTCCCTAATCTTAATAACTATCTATTCCTAGACGTCAATTTCACTCTGTCAAATACAGAGCAGTCTTCAAGAGGAATGAGTTGCAAGCTCTTTCCAACATTTTTCACATCCTCTTTGGTACGTAGCTTTTCACTGGTGTACTGTACCTCGTCGCGAATACTTGGGTGTTCGAATCAGTCCGTCCTTCTCTAACGTAGACGGAAGAAAGCGGTCGAACCAATGGACTCAATAGTGACTCCATGAACGACGGTAGGGCGACCGTCATCTCAGTATTGCACCAGCAACCTATAAGTCCGATCTACACATATCGAACTTGTGTGCAAGTATACTGCAACAAAAAATTCAAAAATCAAACCTTTTACATTATTACATACCGGTAGAAATTACTGTGCAAGTACTGGTACCCTTGGGATACACCACCTATATGCTCAATCAAAATAGAGATTGACAATAACCTCATCCATCGCTCTCCTTGAAAGGATGATAAAATATGAAACGAGGAGCTAGAAAGATTGTCCTCTTCCTTGTCTTGTTCCCAATTGCAACTCTGTTGATGATTCGTGAGCAACGATTATTCGGTGATTTGAGCACTTTATTTGACAACATTTTTCAAAGTGGTGGGACGAATAAAGCCTACGATCATGTCGGACCTACTGGTAGCGACATTGCTCCAATGGATGAGGACCAGAGCGCTGATGATCATGATGGTAGCATCAATCTGAATTCAAATTCCACTTCACCAAACGAGCCCTCCTCTTCAATAGATGAGGACCAGAGCGCTGATGATCAGGATGGTAGCACTAATCAGAATGCAAGGTCTACTTCATCACCGAAGCCCTCTCCGATAGTAGCGATTCTTGGTGGCACGAATCAGAATTCAAATTCAACTACACCACACGAGTCCTGTGGATGGAACACCAGCCTACAGGCAACATGGACACGGAACTCAAAAGACGAGAACGCGTCGTTTTTAAAGGTAATGGCGTGTCATCGGAGGCTCAGTCCAAGTAAGAAAGAGCGATGGAATGAGAAAGAGCGTCCACCTCCTTCTTCGTTGAGATGTGGGGACAATATTATGGATGAACTTTATTCGATTGTTTCCTGTTACGACAGGATCGTTTTCTTTGGCGATTCGATTCAACGGCAGCAGTTCTTCACGCTTTCCTGCATGCTGAACTCATCCCTGACGTTAAAGGATTTTCTGCCAGCAAAACGAAAGGACGACGAATTCAGATGGACATATCCTGGAACCGACACAGCTCTAATGTTTCGAGGCTCGCCAAAGGGTTTGCAAAACTATGGCATATTCAGAAACATCTCATCAGTCGAGTCCAATCCGAGATATGCTGCAGTGGTAAATCTTGGAGCGCACTATCATCCCAATAACAACTCGACCTTGGAGAAAGATGCCCGAATAGTTGCCGAGAGTGCTGAGCAAACAACCACATCTATGTTTTGGGTTGAAACGATAGATTTCCAATGGCCAACGACCAACGGTGAGTTTGTAAATGCGTGTTCCGATTGCCAGTGCGAAGCATTGACGCCAGGTCGTATCGCTGGCACGGGTGCATACACTGGTCCGGACCGGTATGTAAATTCGGCAAAATATCCAACATACAAGAGTTTGGTGGTTACAAACCATACTGGACCGTGCATCCCCTATTGTTGGCCGGCGAATTGGAGGAATCATGTCACCAACAACGTCATGACAAATCCAAAGTATTCGGCCATCAATTTGGTGCCAGTCTGGCAACAGCTGGTCTCTAGTGGATTCGCTCAATCACGATTTGCAGTTGGTGATTGTACACACAAGTAAGTAATTCAATCAGCATGGCTAGCGACAACGCATACGGACGTATCTTACATCAACTATGAAAATGTAACAGATCAACTGATGCGTTGATGGCCGTGGTTCAGCAGCTTCTCCGTTCAATGAAGAAAAGGTGTGATCAGCGAGGAGTGAGTGATCCACATGTGATCACTTTATGATGAGAGTGAAAGCTTTGTCTCGAGGAGTCGGTCGGTCGGCTATCTTCAATACTCAAGCGAAATACTGCCGGATCCACTGAAAGACAATAGATAGTTTGGTCATCTTCCTTCATATAGGATTGAGGGGGAATAACAATGGAACAAATCACGCCAGTTATGAATGGCTTGTGTCATGCCAATGAGATGGGAAACCCAACAATCAATTTTATAGAATTGAATGCTGTATAATATTCACGTATTTGTGCTGCAATAGAAAACGATCCCGCACCATACATTCAAACAAGATAGCAACACAAAAATACAATAGATTAGGGAACGAATAGAATTAAGCAACTCCAAAGAGTTCTCCTATATACCGACTTCGGAGCTAAGAAGTTCGAAAGCGTATCGTTTCTCTTCGTGATTGAAATAGCATTGGGGACTCAACCGTCGACGTGACATGAATCAAAATAAAAACAACACGATCCAGCATTCAAACTGCTCTGTTGCCTTCGTGCCTCGAAGTCATTGAATTCCGGTTTTCATTGTATAATTATAGCAACGACTGAAGCCTAGGCGACGACTGCTTTGCTAAACAAAGGGGGAGAATCAAACAAGTCATGGACACACGCTAGCGGTAGCAACACATTTGTTCAGAACAGACATCACAACAATGCCACCCAAGAACCCACCTCCTCCGCCACCACCGCCGCCACAAGATGAATCACCTGCAACGCATTCTCAAGACGTTTCCAATAGACGCAGAAATCGTCGTCCTAGGGTAGCAGTCCAACAGAATGTCAGTCCCTTGCGATCTCCACCACCACACAGAACATCCTCTCCTTCTCCACCCATCAGAGATGACACGAACCAAAATAATAATAATAATAACAGCAACAACAATGCCAGACAAAAAAAGCAAAACCAACGCGACAAGAAGCGTGCCATCGAATGGGCCAAGCAATTGGATGCTGCCATTCCCATCCTTTTGGATAAACTCTTTTCGCATCTGAGTCATTTGCCAGAAGAAGAATTGCAAGAGCGCGGTGGTGTCACCTTGCCCGCCTCGGCGCTGGGATGGTTGACCTCGCAATATTTTGGTCCGGAAGAAGCGTCGTCGATTTGGGCATCCACTAGAGACAAGCTGCGATTGTTACGGTTTTTATTGCCCCGGATTACTCATTTGCGGATTACACGTCAGTCCTGGCCACCTCCTCTACCAGATGATGATTCCTTCCGACAGCAGGACGCAGATGAAAGGAACCCTCGTCACACACCGCCGCCATTGGAATTCTTGCATACCTCTACTAGCAGTGTGTGTTCGGCGCTCACCACAGACACGAGATTTCCCACCAGGAAAGCCTTTCTGGATTTCATGGAAATGCTCCAACAACGGCCCATGATGGATTTAGGACTGCTGTTTCCCCGTTTGAAAGTTTTGGTGCTGGACAGTGTTCCGCCATATTGGATTCATAAGTTTGGATCCACTGCCGCAAATCAATTGCAAGTTTTGCGAGTTGACAAGGCATGCCTCTACAAACTGCCAGAGATTTTTGGGTTGCCCGAATATCCTAATCTAACCTATTTGCGATTCAGTACTTGTTGTGTGGGTGAAATGTCCCAACTACCAAGACTGCTAAAAAGATTACCAAATCTCCAGTTTCTAAGTTTGGCAGGCAATCAGATACGCACGGAAAGAACGGCATTGAAAGGACTGCGTAACTTGGCACATTTGAGAAAGTTGGATCTGTCAGGCAACCAACTTGCAAATTTGCCGAATGCCAACTTCTGCTTGGGAAACATTACTTCCTTGAATTTAGCAGGGAATAATTTAGTGGATTTTCAAGGCATCGATAAGCTATACGGATTGGAAGTATTGGATTTGAGTGACAATCAGATGGCGGATATCTCTTGTCTGGCTGGATTGGGAAAACTACCAAACCTCGAACAGCTTTCGGTTCAAGGCAACCCGTTTTTACTGAAGACTCCTCCCGGTTACAACAGCTTGAAACCATCCCAAAACGCGAGGATGCAAATGTCCTCATCAGCTACTCTTGTGTTCGAAAAAGAGTATCGTTTGCTCATTCTATCGTGGTTTGCTACCAACCGTTCATCCGTTCATGACTTGCCGATCCTGCATGGGCAGCCAGTCACAGAGAGAGAAAGGTCAGCCATTCGAGCCATTTCCGTCCACCAGAAGTACATTCTCAGTAAAGTTACCACCACCACTGCCAAAAAGATCCAAAAGGTAAAGCGAAAGTATGAAAGAAAGGGCAAGGCCAAGATCCAGTCCGCAAATAGCTTGACGATGAGGAAAAGTGGGCGTCTGAAAAGCGAGTCTTCGCGAACGATGTTGCAACCAATTGATGTTTCCTTCACTTTGTACGATGTTCTCGACAACATGCATCAAGAGAATCTCAAAGCCTATCCAGAAGACTACCAATCATCCGAAATCGAGGATGAAAAGCAAGACGAAAAGGATAAGCTTCCAGAGAAGGTAGAACAAGCTGAGCAAGATATCCAGGAGGACGGCATTAAACAGAAGACGAAAGAAGATATCACAGCAATATCAGGGGACTTGTTATTGGCAACCGAAAAGGAAGCCGAAAAGGAAACCGATCAAGTGCACGAAGAAACATGCAGTGCCAACAAGGAGAACGAAGAAGAAGAAAAGGAAAAAGAAGACGCAAGAGTCGTGCAAGTAATCAGCCCAACACCTTCACCGAGCAAAGCACCGAAATCTCCGGATCCAAATTCCATGCTGGAGTCTTACGATTCGGAAAGGATTGAGTCTCCTGCTCCGGTGGACACCTCCACGGAACGGCAGCTCCGAGAAGCGGTTTCAAATCTATCCCTGTCAATGGTGTTGGAACCCGAGTCAACAGACGATCAATACGACGATGCAGAGTTGGAGGATGACCCGAAGGGTGTAGATGTTGCGGACAATGATGACGAGGCAGCTGATGACAACGAGGACAAAGGAATTTTGATTTGCGACGGCGGTGGCAAAGCCAATGGGAACACTGATGATTTAGGCAAGTCGCCAAGGAAATCAAAATTAGCAGATGAAAATATGGTAAAGTCCCCTCCAAGAATTGCTTCGGTGAATCTTGGTTCAGGGGGAGCAAAAGGGCAACTAGACATATTTGGCGCGGATTGGGTGAGAAATGTTTTTTGTTGTGACTCAGCTGGTTGGTTTTCTTGTCTAATTCTTTTCTTGAACCTTCCAGGACGTATTGGTACAACTCGCTGCTGCTGGGTTGATCCCAAATGGAAAATTGAAAACACCAGTCGAAAATGTGAACAAGGCTCAACCAGACGAGGACATCTTTGCTCAAGCTGATGAGCTATTACCTGGACCCATAGCGCCTCGAGTATCGAAGCTCGAATTATTAGCTCCAAGCGTCACTGGGGCATCTTCTGTCATAACAGATGATCTTTCTGAAATTGCCAGTGTGGTTCGTTCAATAACTGTGGACAGTGCGTATCAAGACGATTACTCTCTCTCAAGTTTTGACGCCATTGAGGCACAAGTTCCAAGTAAATTTCAATTGGCAGAGAAAGCCTGCGTTTACGACGGTCCAGAAACTTGTCGAAACTTTAATGTCCTCCAAAACATGGATCTCTACTTTACCAGTTTTGTTTTCCGAGACACAACCACGGTGACCACCGAAACGAAGAGCACAAATGAAGACGGAGAAATTGCCAATCAAGTGTATCCAAGGATCCAGCTATGGCCGGATGATAGGAAATCATTGAAGGCAGATGATACATCTGGACTGGGTGATGTACCTCAGAACAATCGTGAGCGATGTGCTCGTGTTTGGGAAGAAGATGTCATTCCTTGTGGCAAATCCTCTCTCCGGCGACTCGGACCGAATCGAAATGTACGACTGACTTTTCATGGTGATAAGGTTGTGAAGAATAGTGCATTTAGTTCCTATGCAGAAAGTCGAAAGGTCTATCTCTGCCTTTCCTCTGACGCACTGTATGTGATTGCTAGGAAAGATGAGGTTACACTCAAGAAGAAGCGCAAGAAGTTTCCTCTACCGATACGAGACAATGCGAAATTTGGTAACGCGCCATGGCCCCATGCTATTGCCCGGCATTCGTACCATGATTTACAAGCCATTGTTATTGGATTCGACTTTCAGCGTTTGACGCTGCGGTTCTCTAGTCGTCGAAGGTCTGATCCATACGCATACGTCCTGCTGACTTGCAACAAGCGACAAACAGTGAGGATTCTTCAAGAAATTCAGAATCTGAAGAAAGAATTGGATGAGGGTGTAGAAGAATTGACTTCCGATACGACAGTAGTTGCAATCGAAAATGACTCTCAAGTGGTTTTTGACGCCTTGAGCGAAGCGGTAGCACCCAACGTCGTTGGGACGATCATTCATTATCAGATTGTGCAACAACGATGGAAACGTGGTGATCGGGGCACAGTTCGTCGAGTTTGCATTGTATCAGATGCCAAATTGTTTTTGTTGAACGAAGATTATGTATCCGATGGACACATATCACTCTCCAATGACGGAAATCGAGTTGGAGATGTCTCGTATGAAGTGGTTGACGAGGCAACCTTGCCGCAAGTGGCAGAAATTCGTCCTGCTGATGCTGACCCCAGGTCCATTACAATTCTCATCAACCCACTTAGTAGGCTATCTAGGACGCATAGGTGGCGATTACTATGCCGGGATAGTGAAGGGGCTGAGAAGCTAGTTGCAGATGTGAGACGAGCAATCGACATGCAAACTGATCACGCTTTGTAAGTAAATTACAACATTTTGGCTCCAACGAAATGTAATACTGTCTCTTTGCTTGAGGCAATCATAGTCCTACTATTTATTCCACAAGAGTCCTCTTTTCCAAACCTGACCAGCCTAGTTTCATCATTCGTTGTGCATTCTTTCGTTTCACACGGGAAATGTCACGGATTGATAGGCTTGCTAAATCTTGGTTCGATATGAGGTGAATGGTAGGATAGGGAGCCCGATGCATGGCATTGTCCGGCAGAGGTGGGCCAAGCTCTCCATTGGGTAGTATCCAATCGATGGGCACGTACTGCTCCGAGCGGCGACCCTCGATTTCCTCGTGAAATCGGATCTTGACCTTTTGCTTGCCGAATACTTTATTCTCTGTTTCAATGATTGTGGCAGAGGCTTTGGTAGAACTCTTGCTTCCGACCATTCCCCAATGTGACTCTACCACAGTTCCGATGCTCATGCCTTCGGGAAGGCCACGCCAACGAAGAAACGTTGGATGAAATGGTACCAAGGTTATCTTGTTCTGAAAATGTTGACGCTTCTGCTCGTAGCGTCTGATTTCCTTGTCCTGTTCTTCCACTTCAGTATTGGAAGCGACGAGACATCCATTGGTCACAAACTTTTCAAAATTATCAAATTCCTTCCATTCCTTCACAAATGGGCAAATCAACAGAGTTGTCGAGTATTTTGATGAATCATCAACGGCAACCAGCGTTTCCATTTCCGAGTAGACCAGTTCCATGACTTGTTCCGGCTGCTTTGAAAAGCAGGATACATATCGCAAATTTCCTGTTCCATGAGATTTTCCTGCCCACGGACACAATCCCAATCCAATGGGAACTTGATGTACCCAACGTTGAACGTGTTGGGCGAATTGGTGCGGATGATGATTCGTCGTTTTGGCCAACACCCTTTTTATTGCGGATTCCTCTCCTTGCAAGCTTGAATAACTTTCATCATCATCATCATCATCATCATCATCGTCACTCGATTCAGAACTACTACTACTCTCTAGGGAGGAAGAGGGGGGGCTGTTCTCCATCAGATCATATCGAGAACATTGATGATGATGAGAAATTATTGCGAAATCAGGTCTGTCCGCATGTAACAAAGGAATAAGGCTAACAACAAGTAGAATACGCGTATTCTTATTTTAATGCAGGACATCTTAGAATATGGATATTGAATATGTGCCAACAGTACTGTAGGTTTTATTCTTGCGGTTACACCAACGCACATAGCAGTACGAATGCCGCAGAAACTACAGTATAATCAATTTTCCCATGGCCCCCTACAGTACAGTATAATTCTTTTGTGCTGTGGATCGAATGAAGGTGACGAGGAGTGAGTTTGATAGCATGTATGTTTCTCAAAAATGCTGGTTACCAGTTTAAAAAAATATGTTGTCGTATGTCATCATCATCATCATCATCATAACAAAAGAGAAAGAAAAGGGTATATATAGTATAGGCCTCCCAATCTAGTACTACAGTAGCGAGTGGAAGGAGACTCATAACTCCTGTCCCTCTCCCATAATCTTTTTCTTGGCATACTTGTAAAGATAAAGTAGTCCAAACAAGAACATTGGATTCCGAGCAAAATACATGACAATTTTCATGACCCAACCCTGCGAGGCAACCACTCCAGCCGCTTCCGACAATGGTTTGCGTTCCGCCGACTTCCATTGTTCGATGACCGCCTTGCCTTTGGCCGCGTCATCATTGACATTGGAAACCTCTTCTCTACCAGTTCCACTGATAAACTCTCCAGTTTTGGCGTCCATAATCATCAATGCGGGAATCCCCATAATCCCAAAGGTATTTGCAAGTTTTTGCTTAATCGGGGCTGATCCCTTTTCGGAGGGCACGGCCAACCAGGGCATGGTTTTGTAATAATCTTCAAACGAGGGAATTGTCCTATCGCTTGATACATAGATGATTTCCAATTTGGCAGATTGGCCATGCGTTTCGTAGAATTTCTTCAACCACGGACTGAATTGACTGCGGAGATTATTGTGACTGTTATTAGAACAATTCATGCATCACTCGCAGACATATCACACACAAACACACACAAAACAAAACAAAACAAAACAAAGACAGACATTTATCGTCGTACCGACATGGGGGACACCAGCTCGCACTAAAGTAGAGGGCAAGAAGTTCCTTGTCCTTCAACAATTCTGAGGTGGGCTTTGAGACTTTAGGTTTGGTCAATAGTGTCGCTCCAAAGAACTTTTCGACATCAAATGGTTCTGGTTTTGTGGTTGTGCCTTCTGCTCCTTCAGACATGGTATTTCAGTTCAATGCAGATAATAAAAGAGATGCCGCCGGATTGAGGCAATACTAATAACAGTGCGGTGCTGCGTAGCGTGAGCGGGTTCAGTGTGAATATAAAATATTATGCGTTAAGCGTGGATTTTCAATTTGGACCTATCAAAGTACTTTCGCATATACGGATTGGATATATTTTTCATGTACGAACCATATATGATGAGCCGCTGCACTCATCGTTGAAACCTTTTATTACGAGAAAGAAGATGCGAGAGCTGTCAGTGTTGTTGACAATATGCCCATTTCATTTCTAAATAAATACTGGTCAAACCAGACAACAACGACATCGATTACACCGGAAGAACATGCCACAGCAAGACTACGGATCTTTGACGATGCCCTGGATCGGCTCATCATTGGACCGGGAGGCACCTTTGCGGTGACTTGCAGCTGTGTCTTTGGTCTTAGTGCCATTGAAGGTTGGCTTCATCTTTCCTCTAATCGACAAGTATCTTTCCTTCAGAAAAGTCACTTTGTCACGCGATATGCTCTCGCCAACATCATCCCGTCCATTGTCTGGGACAGAATCAAAGCGGAAACCATCGTCCAAGCGCTTCAATTGAATCCAAACATTCTTGGAAAAGAGTCAGCCAGCCTTTCGTGGAATCGAAGGAGACTCCAGTCAATAAGAGGATCGGTGGCTGGCACTGCCATTCTCTCGCAGTTAGTAGGCCTTCTCAATGTGAGTTTTTCCTCCAAGCAAGATTATTCCAAACGACTGCTGGAAGGAAGGGAGCCTCCTTTTAATTTACCTTCCCAAAAAGAAGTGGTCATTCGACTGGCCGGTATCAATAGCAATGTAACCAGCCTCAGCATGGAACGCTGGGGTCGACGCAACATTTTTCCAATCTACGAACGGGATACCCAAGAGGTTCGACAAATGGTCCAAAAACATGGCTTTGACTCAGAACGTGGCTTGGACTCGAGCTCCAATCATGGGGTTCCTGTCTTTTGGAGAGTCGAAAATGGAAAATACGGGGATCCAGATTCTTGGAAGGGAATGGCGATTCCAAGACAATGGCTACTCACGGTGAAAAATACACCACAAAATGCTATGAATACTAGTAATAGTAAAAACAAGAAGAATGCTGTCAACAAGATTTTGTTGTTGGAAGCTGACTCGGTCGGTAGGGATTCCATTGAATGCATCTTTTCCCCCGACATGGCCAACGAATCCGATTTGGATCTGTACGAAGCGACTCAAGGGTTTTATCAATTGACTCGACTGGTGGAAGAGGATGCCCCTCCCTTTTCGACACTAAGAGTGCTACTAGTAGATTCCAATGCCGTTGTGACAAGTGGGGGCGGACGGAAACGGAGTATTCGAAATTATGTCACTAACCTCGGGTTGGCGGACATTATTATTGATGCCCGAGAACCCTTACTATCGGCTGTTAAAGATTGGTTGAAGCATCGCTCATGGGATCATTTGCGTGGCAAAAGAAGAATAAGACTTGGAACGAAAAAGCCAGTCATTGTGGAAACTCCATCGTCCACCTTTTTTCAATCGTTGAAACAGGCTTTGGAGCCGTTCGGGTACGAAGTCATGGACGTTGCGGATGCCCAACAAGAGTATGGTAGTATAGAGCATATTCCAGTACTGGTAAACGAAGATACATCCTTGGCCACCATTCATACCGTCCGAAAACTACTGGAACGCAAGTTGAGTACGGCAGAAAATGTTTGTGCCTTTTGTGGAGATCAGGGTGGTCTAGTGGAATTGGAGCCTGGTCATGATTCTACTATTGTAACAATCTGTTCGAGTGATATCTACGATGGCTTGTTCGGATTGGTACGAGAAATGGCGATTCAGGGTTTCACCAAAGAGCAGATACAAAAACGTGTGGATGGTTATGTTTGCAAATCCACGGGTCGCCGAGGGGGTAAGCAGTTGGGATTTCCGCCATCATAATAAGGGTAGCAAGGAGAACGAATCGTGTCGTCCTCCTCCAACTCGAAATAGATTGTTAGTTTTTCTAGGTACACTTTCTCAAAGCAATGCTGAATGTCGACACATATTCAATATAAAACGTATTTCACCTACCGGTACTGTAGTATAGCGTAAGCTGTATTTATCGTACTGACTTAGGCTCATCCTTTGACCGGGACTCGATCGGTGCTATCTGGTTCCCGTGAATTTCTTCCTGCTCGAGCAAAAATTCTGTTTCGACAGCAACTGTAGATTATTATGTGGCGACGAAAAGGGTCGCGTACGGTACCATAGGTACATGACATCGCCGCTTATATTCAATGGGGCTCAACTTGCATTATAAAATATGTACATTGGCCAATAAAGACTTTTGAAACAGAGAGATCTTTAAAAGAGCGATACCGAAAAGGGGAAACTATGGGAAAGATTACTATTTTTTCACAGGACGTAAGTCGTACTCTATTTTCCCTTTCCACAATTGTAAAAAACCTTCCCCTCCATTCTCAATGTTCACAATACACGCACCACAATAGGATTGTCGACATTGCAAACGAGTCAAAGCAGCATTGTATACTCGTGGTATTCAATTTCAAGAAATCAACCTGACAAAGTATCCCGAGAAGCGAAATGATATGCTATCCTTGAGCAATCGCCTGACAGTTCCACAAGTCTTTGTGAATTACAATCACATCGGAGGGGCAGATGCAACAATGAACTTATTGGCGTTTTGGGATGAGAGCGGGCAATTGGCGTATCTCAATGAGCCCGATCCGAGTGACCCACGCTTGGACGTTCCAACCTATCCGCCCAAGGAAGAAACCAAACCAGCTCCCGATCGGAGCACGCAGACGATGATTGAGATCCCAGGCAGTGAAGAGAAGAAGGGTGTCTTGGAAATGATGGAAGCTATGAAATTCATATTACCAGCTGCTGATTTGAAATATGGCGTGAAAAAGTATCGAAATGCGTTTACTGGTGCCCAGGCTGTCAAAGTTTTTCAGAAGTGTTATCAGTTGAAGTCGCCCGAAGAAGCCGTAGCGTTTGGGGTCCTGCTACAGTCTCATCGAATTCTAGACCATGTCGTCGGAGAGCATACTTTTCAAGACACAGAGGATTATTTTTATCGACTGACGTGCTATCAAACGCCGAACATCTTGAACAGCTATCGTGTGTGGAATGAAGCGGTGGATCCCGATCCGATTCGATTGGTGAAAGGCCTGACGGCAACCTTGAACAAAATTCTTTCACAATACACAAGCGACAAGACTGGCAAAGTAGATTACAAGAGGGCTGGATTAGACAGGTCAATGACCGCCTTTGAAGAAGCATCCTGCGAGTTGCAGGCTGTCAACTTGCGGGAAATGTCGAAAGATACCAAAATGGTAAGATCTACGTGCTGCAACGCCAACACAGACTGAAACCTGATTGGCTTCTCACACTATATATGCGTACTTGATATCATTTTGCTCAGGCCTTCTGCATCAACCTATACAATCTGATGATCAAATATGCTTTTGTCAAGGTTGGAATTCCCAGCTCCAATGTAGATCGCGTTGCGTTTTTCACCAAAGTTCAATTCTACATTGGATCCGATTTGTTTTCCTTTCAAGATTTGGAGAATGGCATTCTGCGTGGGAATCGAAAGGCACCTTACTCTTTGACACCACAGCTCGGCAGCGATGATCCAAGATTACTACTCAGCATGGACAATGTGGACTGCAGGATCCATTTTGCATTGAATTGTGGTGCGACATCCTGTCCTCCTGTAAAGAACTTCACCAAAGAAGGGATCCACGAGGAGCTGAGGATTGTGTCTCAGGCATTTTGCGAAGGTGCGGAACAAGTTAAGATAGACATAGGAAAGAATACGGTCCATCTGTCGAAAATCTTCAGTTGGTACTTTGAAGACTTTGGAAGTTCGAATATGGAGTTATTGCTAATGGTCTCGGGGTTTCTGCGGGACGAAAAGAAAGAATCATTGCAGTCTTTGTTCGAGGCCTCTAGTAGTGTCAAGATCAAGTACAATAACTATGATTGGTCTACCGATGCCAGTGATTCGCTTGTGTTTTCCGCTGGAAATGTAAAGGCCAACCCTTTTCGATCATTGTTCAAGAAATAAACAATTATGTTGTACAATTAAAATGCTGAAAGCTCAAAGTTACAGTTGAAAATATTCATCTTTTGATGAATAGTACTACATACACCACACACCACTCTTCATGCACCGGCACCGACCACCTCAGATCAGCCTAATTCATTTGTGATTCGATTCACAGGACTCAACTTGAGTTCGCATATTTTTTCTCGAAAAATCCGAAAGGTGACACAAAACTATAACAGACCATAGTATAACATATATAGCCGCATGATGAATTGCAATCCTATGCACTATTTGCGTCAAGCCTGGGACGCAACAAATTCAAAATGGGGCAAATCGTGCATTGTCCTCTTTTATTCTTTCCTATGGATTCAGATCCTAGGATGCACCTATTCTCTATTTGACATCAAGACTGGCTGGGATTGTCTCTATGAGAACTTGTCGTCCCAAAACGAGATTAACTTTGTGGCGGGGACAATGCGAGTTTCGAACCTGTGGATATTGGGATTTTTCCTTTTTGCGGATCGAAGTGGCATCAGAGTCTGGAATGTTTTCATGGTTTGGTTCTTTTACATGGCCCAATGGTTGCTGTACAAGCCAGTCATGACCAGCTTTATGCAAGGATCGTGCCCCACAGAACTCCAAGATTTTAATATCAGTATGATTGTTACTGGAGTTTGGATTTCGTTGGCTCTTATTTCATCCATTATGGAAGAACGAGCTGCTCCCACAGGTCCTGAATCCTCCCCCCTCCTGACCTAGGGATGAATTTACATTTCACCCTACTGTACCTACATGTAGACGATGTGTATGCTTAAAATAATAATGATTGGAAACAAAATCCAAGTGCCTATATAACGTCTGTATGCAAGGCGTTTGACGCGATATTTCGTGGTGCAGCTCGTCGCGGGCGACGTGGACCTTCGGATACTTTTGACTTACTATACCTGAGGTTGAGTTGCCCTAAGATTTGTACAAAGGTTGATAAGGGTGATTTCAACAGGGACCACGCTGTTGTTCCCTTTGAAAGTCGTATCGATAGTGGTAGTCATCAGTATAAATGAGTCGAAAGTTGCCAGGATTTTGGATTGGCGTCAACGGCTTTCCTGCCATTTGTTTTTCGTTCACTTCTCCAATAATGTCAACAGTTGAAGGTAATAGTCTATCATTCATTTTCCGTTTCATCGCAGTTTCGTGTCCCAAACCTGGCGAACTTTGGGCTTCGGTCATCCAAACATTCAGCTTTCGATCCACAATAAAGTCACCAGCCTGTGTGCGTCCAGGAAGGAGAGATAGCAGTGTTAACATGGCTGGAGAGTCAGTTACCATAATCCACCCCTCGACATTACTTTGCCACACGTACCATTAGAGCAAATCCATTTTCCATCTTGGTGTAGGAACCACCATGACCATGAAATCCTTTGTCTCGGTTGGCTGCCACCACATTGGCCAGAGCTGACATAATTTGCTTTCGAATGTGATCCAGTGGATCTGCTCGTACGGCAGCACTGAAACCGTCCTTGTTCTCCTTTACATGAAGTTTTAGTTGAATCTCCCAATCATCAAAACCAACCGTATTCTTTTCCGTCGCATTGTGCCGACCAAGATTGGTCAGATGCTTCCCAGTCGACTCGAATACCTTGTCGTTGTATTCATGTGGAGAGACTCGCAAATAGCCATCGTGATATAGAACCACCAATGGTTTTGCAGAAGCTACCAAATAGTAAATGCGAAGATCGAACTTTCTGCCCAAGTACGCGAGTTCATGACAAATATACCTTTGCACAATTATGGGGTCGTTGAGCTTTTTCGATCGTTCTCTTGCTTTTTCAATGTTTTCTTCGCCGCGAGTGTCCCCCTTTTGTGTGAATACGATCTCCTCTCGAATGCGATCCATGTACTTTCTGGTGATTGATTTCTCACGTAAGATATTCGCCAGTGTACGAAGTTCAGAGCTGTCGGGTCCAAGCATTGCGATTCCAATTCCATTGTCAGTTGCTGATAGTTTTGTGACCCACGGCTCATTCAGACTACTATTGAATCGCTCCAGCAATGGCTTTCGGTCATATGGCAGCATGAAAGATTCAGGAATAAAGTCCATTTTCCGGCCTGATTTCTTTTCGTATCCTCTGAGCGATGACAAGAACTTGGACTTGCTACTCATAACATTCTGGTATGGAATCCAGTTATGTCGTTGCCATGGCTGGGCCATCTCCCAATACCCCTTCGGCGGTTTGTGTTTCGTCCATAGAAATAATGATGACACCGTGCTGTTTGTGTAGCATCTTTCAAGCGCTTTCCAGTTGTAACCTCTCAAATAGAATACCTTGTAGTTGCGCTCTTTGAATGCCCGAACAACGCTGAAGAAAAGAAAACCAATGAGCTCCAATACAGCAGCATGGCGTCAAATTGTACACTGATGAGAATTCGTTTTGGATCCTTACGCTGTCTGTGCCTTGTCAACGCATGCCATCTTTGTTTTCCGCTTTGGTGCTCGCTTGACCATCTGACCATGAGTTCTAGTAATTCCTAACAATTTCTCGATTTCCGAAGGGACAATTCTTATCATACCAAAACCAATAGTCGCAACAATGACCATTCCTATGATGGCAACATGAATAATTCCAATTTGATTCCTCGAATAATGCGCACCCCTTGATTTTTCGGGTGAATAATGAGTGTTGCTGCCAGTCGGCTCGTCTCCTTTTGCTTGTCGTCGCCTCGTCATCATTTGCATACTATTCTAGTAGTGAATTGATAGGAATTGAGTGTGAGTTGCTTAGGTTTGGAAGGGTTGAAACTTGGTTCAAAGCAGATTCACACTTCCAATGCATTGTTTCTCTCAGCACTATTTTCCGTCGCCTACTGTTTTCATCTCCTCCCTTCCTCCCAAAATTTGAAGCCTTAGTCGTATTAGTCAAACTAACTGGAGTCCAAAGTCCAAAATTTCTATCGGGTCTAATTTCTTATTGCCCATTTTACTGTACAGTTTTCGTTTGGGGACTTTCGATTGTGTCTAACTATGCGTTTGGAATGTCTTCCTGCGCTTCAGTATCTACAAAACTCTCCACACAAGATATGAGGCAAAAGTTAAGTACCGTGATTGGTACCACAAAAATTTGCGTTACGTTGATCAGCGCAAACAAGCCGAAGACCTGCCGTGATAAGGTGGCGAGTGAGGAATATAAAATTCAACATATATGTACTTTTACATCCATTTTAAAGCTTACCAAGACTTCTGGCACGAGATTCTCGGGACTGCCTACTTGCACCGAATCCAAGTGCGTGAGTGCATAAACATCTCTTGGCAGAATGTTCGACGTGAACACTACCAACGAAGCAACAACGAGCCAAGTTTGAAACTTGATCGAATTCAGATAAAAGGATAGCCCGCTTCCTCCGGCGATTCCGAATAATTCCTCCAATCGATTAGTCGCCGGCGTAGCATAGATTTTCTGCAACAATTTTGGAAAACTTGGTTAGCTGGGATTGATTCTGCGTTGTGAGCAACTGTTATTTGGGGGCATCCCGTGCCCACTTACCTCTATCCATGAGATCCAAAATGGTGATGAGTTTGCTTGAAATGCCTTTCTTTGATCATCAAATTCGACTGCTGGCGGTAGCAGCCGACCTCTACCCTCTTCGCCTTCTACTCGAACAACTGTAGGCAACAGCATGTTCTTGATTGACGTCATCTTGACAAAGTTGATGGCGAACCACCCTATATTGAGGAGTTCTATCAATAGCTTTGGGAAGAAGAAAAGGGGCGTTGAAAGAAAGAAACCAGATGTCTCGACGGAGTTCCCTGCTGCTGGGTTGACTACATCATGACTCAAATCCACTGAATTTGCAAGAGCAATCAAGGGTATTAGCGGTACCCATGAAAGTGGTGAAATTTCCACGAGATCCAGGTTGCAGGTCGCGAAACCTTGTTCCAGATACTTTCGGATCTCAAAGTCTTCGTCAAGATTGAATTCTTTCTTGAGTCGCTCTCGAAGGACTAATATCTCTGACGCTCTAGCTCTGGGTGTAAGTGTAAGCTCGCGCCACAGCGGGTTGACCTGTTGGACGGCCAGTTTTCTCACAAAACCATCCTCTAGGTCGACCTCGCATTCCAAGCCTTCCTGTTCATCGCAGTTTCTAATAAGGGTCGCCTTTTCTAGTGTCGGTGCATTGAGAATGCGAGCGACAGTGCATGACAGTTCTTGCGATGCCGCATCTGAACCTCCAAAGTTTTCACTTTGTTCCGATGACAGTTCAAGAATGGCTTTAAAACTCATTAGAACGCGGACAATAATGAATGCTGAAGTTGCGAAAAAGGCGATTGCGGCCTGGAAGAACACCTCGTGAAGAAATTCAAAAGATTCCAACAGGGTACTTGGCTCTCCAAGGAACCGTTCACTTATGTTGCCCACGACTTCGCCAAAAGCCGCTTGATTTAAGAGTGCAGACAATAGTAGCCCAATGAAACCAAGGCCTCCCATTTCACCAAGGATTTTCTCAATGACGGGCACGATTGCTGGAGGGCATTCTTCTTTGGCATACTCGACAAAGGACTCCCAGCTGTAAAGGAGGAATACAATGACCAACATGACATTGAAGCTCCAGAACGTGGGGTTATGGAGTACTTGATCCAGCACTGAACCGTTCTCGCTAACAAGTGATGTATGTGACTCCCCTTCCAAGGCAAGAGTCAGACTCGTCGAGACTGGGCTCGAGGGGAATTCATCACGATGCCTTGAGATGAAAGACGAAAGAGAATGGATATTGGTTCTAGTGGTCGGAGCAAGAATAAAGCCAAAGACTGCATGTGAAAGCCAAACTGCGGTGAGCAAAATTCGAAGGAGGCTCATCGTGAATGAATCATGACGCTGAAGCAATGATTGCAATGACGCAATCAAAAGAAACAGATACCATACATTGAACATTATGTACGAGTTGAGAGTACCGGTAGGTTGATGTGACGTCACCAGACAAAATACTAACAAAGGCCCAATTTTACGGATGTCAGAACGCTTCATTCGAACGATATCGGTATCTTGGAACGTAAAGCAGCAGCGACTTTGTGTCACAACTGTGACACACAATTTTAAAACTGTGCAGTTTTAAAACTGAGTGACGCAGTTTCAAAACTGAGATTATGGTCACAGCAATCTTAAAACTGGCACAAGCCAGCCACACCCCAACCTTGGTTCCCACTATTTCTGCAGAGGTTGTTATCTAAAGCGGTTCTGATTCTGTACTGTAGTCGTGGAAGCTACCAGGTACAAAGACAAGCAACCCCTCTGTAGTTGTAGGTCCAGCCCAGCACTAAAAACGCAACCTCAGTTTTCATCTCTTGTGCTGCCGTAGCGTTTTCAGAGTCAATTCTTGCTTTCATAATATATGAAGAGGAAGAAAGAGTTCTTTGAGATGTCCTTAAGTGGCCCATCTATAGTAGATGACGAGAATCCGCAGACTCACTCTTCATCGAGGGAGAAGAAAAACGATCTCCAAAATGTCCACGAAAGAGCAAGTTGGATATTTATGCAATAATTCATTTTTCACTAGGGAATCTGGAGATAGTTGTTCCTATTTTCGATTTCTAACAAGAGCATAGGTGGAAAACGAATCTCGATTTATATCGCGTAAAACTGCTTTCACCACCTCGATTTATATCGCGTAAAACTGCTTTAACCACGAGAACGACAGCCTGAAAATATGCAGCAAAACGGCTTTTACAGGGTATCCCAAACTAGGTCACTTTTGAATTTCGATGTATGATAACATATTTTATGTACCGTATATCACATCTGACTGCGCAATGACTGTGGGCACGCGGTATTTCCGGAAGTTCGTAAAATGACTACGCCCGTCAAGCCACCACTTCTGAGATTGTGAAAGTTTTTTAGCTTTCTCAGTTTTGAAACTGCGTCACTCAGTTTTAAAACTGCACAGTTTTAAAATTGTGTGTCACAACTTCGTAAAGACCCTTCCCATACCCGATCTGAGGACTTTGAAATCGATATAGATCTTGGAGTATCAACAGCACATCAAGATAGTGCTCTGTTTCGATAAAGAGCAAATTGATGCTGATAGCCAGTACACACGACCAGCCAGCAGTGCGGGTTGCCATGAATGCGTCGTCTAATGGGGACTGGTTACTATTACTATTTTTATGACGACATAGGGTTCCAGTTGCGGATGGGACTGCAGCGCATGCTCTCTCATCTGCCTTGCAAAAAGTCGAAAAGAAGCCACTTCTTGCCGAATCTATCAGACATCGCTTTTTCACCAAATGGTATCTTTGTGGCTGAAGTCATCTGTTGATGGCCACAGAGATTGCTCATGGCAAAAGGTGACCCACCAATCAATATTGCTTCCTCCCGTCCGCTAATGAAAGCTGATGTGATCCTTCGACTTGGAGGCTTGTTGTCTTGGTAGACCGTTTAATTTCAGCAGGTGCGCCATATGAAAGCAAAATGGATGCAAGCGGTTGAAATCCTGTTTGCGTTGGTGTCAGTCCTCCTCCTCGCATCAAATTGGACGATCTCATAACAGTTGATGGGTGATCTTGAAGCCTACATGGCAATCGCATTTGACCCACTTTATCTATATAAAGAAGCCTTTGGTCGATGCCCTTCACTGCCATACTGAAATTTTCATGTGGCTTCATCTTAGTGAATAATGTTTGTTACCACACGGGAAGAGAACATGAATACCAACAATCAAAACACTCTGACTGCAGAAGTTCAAGCTGTTCCTGCTCCGCTTCCAGTTGAATACGGTGCGGAAGCTGCCTCTCAGCCGTTGCAAAGAAGCTTGAAAATTTGTACGTAAACAACTAGATTATGTACTATTAAGACTGCTTTGTATTTTGTAGTTTGTGCAGTTGCAGGTCAGTTAGCAGACTTTTAGAATGCCCCAACCATGCCCAAGTCTTGAGTAGCCAAGATATCATAGACACAATCCTTGATGGATAGTTCGTCGTTCAAAGAAGAGCAGGCAGCTTCAGCTTCCTCCATAGTGATGTTGGACTCGCCCAAGCGACGAGCACGATCGCCTCTTGGGTCTTCAGGCTTGATGCAACGCTCGGGAAATTGTGGGAAAGAAGCCTCGCGGAAGAGTTTTGGCTCACTGGGCAAGACTTGCCACTCATCACCAAGGTCAGAGAAGTCGTGAATCTCGGTGACTCCATCACGGGCCAAAGTCTTTCCATTTTTGAAGTTTCCCAGTAGACCGACGGTATTTCCAAAAGCAGACTCATCTCCACTGAACTGGACACGGAGGAACTCTTTGTAGATTTTAACGGAGATGGAGGCTCCGGGGTACTTGGAGCTCAAATCAATGATGTACTTGCGCTTGTAAACAGATGGAAGCTCTTGGGTCACCGGGTATCCAGCGACAGAATCAAGGTCTCCTTGGTACTCATAGTTGATCCAGTAGTGAGCCTCGGCATCACCAGCATCGGCTGATCCTTCAATCTCGAGGATGTCATTGCCAATTTTGATAGCAACGTTCTTGATGTAGGACCAGAAACGAACAACCTTTGTACGGATTTGAATGTCAAGACCAAGGCCACCAGCAAAGTCTTCGTCGCTGACCAATGTGAGATCGCACTGTCCATGGTACTCGAAGTGCTCGTTCTTCCAGGTAGTGAAGTGAGGATCTCCGCCTGTGCCGATCTCAGTTCTTTCAGGAGTTCTTTCGCAATTAAAGGTGGCAATTTCATTGTTTCTGATTACCTCTTCAATCACATCGACAGGGCACTCGTTATAGTCTGCATCCCTAAGATGCAAGTCGAGGGCTGCATCGTAAAGACCGTTACTTGGAATGTTGATATCTAATTCTGCTTCATCACAAGCTGCAGTGATAGTTGCAAGCATTTGTTCGAACGCATCTTCATCATAGCTGCCTTCGTAAGGAGAAATGTCACATCTGGAGTAGTAGGTGTAGTCTGCTCCGAAAAATGAATCGGCAACATCACCTTGGAAGCAGTAGTGACCCAAGCAGAAGTCGGTGGCTGCCCCACGGCTTCCTCTTTTCTTTGGATTGGTTGGAATTACCAATTGTTCGCCTCCCGGTGTGGTCCAGTCATCGTCCTTGTAAGCATTATTGGTACCAAAGAGACCGATGACGTCTCCGTGATATTCCTCCTTCAAACATGAAGAAAAGGAGATCACACATCCCCATTTTCTTGACACTGAGCTGACTAGTACCGTGAGGTCGGCTTCGTAGTCATGGAACTTAAATCTCATGTCGTACTGGCCCTCCGATGTCACTTTGACATCGTTACCAAACAGGCTTCCATCGAGCATTTGGTCCCTTGAGACCTCTGCATCGTCAACATAGAAGTGCAAACCACAAGCCTGATCTGCAACGTTGATATCATCAGTCATAATCTTGACCCTGGGGACGTCTTCATCCACAATGAATGAAACCCCACGTGTAACAGTTTGGGGACTTTTGTCATTTTCCCAGGGGTTCGCTTGACCAGTGAATTGTGGGTCCACAAAGAGACCACGGATTTCGAGTGGATCAGTTTCGCTGATCGACTTGGTCAAGATGAATTCACCCTGTCCCATGCAGTCATAGGCTGTTCCACTGAAAGTTCGGATGTGTGGATCACCACTGACAGTGGCCTTGCGGCACTGGGTTCGCTGATCAAAGCAAAGGATATTGTCGCTGAGCGGTCCGAAGGGGTTACGGTCTCCTGATTCAAGGCAGCAGTTGTCTTCACCGTCACCAAACGAATTGCACACGCCATCTCCGACTGTGTCACCAGGCTTCAAGCAACCACAGCATCCTGTGAAAGTTAATTTAAGTTGCATTACGTTGGAAGTAAGCAAGTAGGTTAGTTAGTAACATCCAACGCGCACCAAGCCAAGCACAGAAGCAAAGAATAAACTTACCAATACAATTACAGGAACCGTTGCCAATCGTAATGCTGCCATTTTCGAGACCCTCAACAGCAGTTTTGCCAACAGCTCTGCAAGATCTGTTTTTGGTGCAACTATTGTCTCCAATGTGCACTTCACCATCTTCTCTCGCAACGTGAAAGCAGGATTGGTAACCCAGGCAAGAACCGTCGCCAACCGTGGCAGTCCCATCGCGGCCCATCTGGTTGCAGGTGCGATCGCCGACGCAGCTTCCGTCTCCGATCTCAACTTTTCCTTTCGAACCAGCGAGGGCGCAAGCTCTCTCCTTCAATCCTTGTCCGATGCAACTTCCCGCTCCAACTTTCAACTCAGAACCAGCTACGCGCCCACCGCTGACGCACGACCGCTCCCCTTGGCAAGATTGGGAGCCAACTTCGAAGATGCCATTTAATCCATTGCGGTTGCACACATCAATACCATTAAAGCAGCAATCGTCACCAATAGTGCACTGGTTAGCTCTCACTGAGAGATGGCGATCTCCTTGATCGACAGCATCGGCATCACCGTTTGCCTTTGCCAACACTACAGTGAAGAGAAGAGTAAGAACTGAAAGCTTCATGGTACCGTACCAGTACTTTATCGATCGATGAATGAATCTTCAAAATACGCTTTTTGCCAAAAGTTTTTTTGTGACCTCAACATGCATCAAATCGTGAGGGGACAAAATCTCTTTGAACTTATGCCTGTTTCTTTTTTTCTTGCCACCTTCACATAGGGTAGATACAGTTCGTGAATCGAATTCGTTAAATAGCCATTTCCTAATAATTGAAATTATATTTATCATACTGTGCATCGACGATCAATTACCATTCGCATTTGAAACATTTCCGAGTATCTATTATGCCAATGCTATTATGAAAAGATACGCGTGAGAAATTCAAGATTGGAATTTTGGACGGTGCAAATCATGCATACCGATAGGCATAGTTGCCGCGCCTAACAATGAAGTTACGGTTTCTGGAAACCGCCGCCATTTATTCCAGACGGAACAACAAGACAAACAACTAACAAAGGCCCAAGATGTCACCTGATAGGCGGACGTACGTCGAGTACCGACATCGTTATGAATATCATGAGAAAAAGCCACGACCCACAAATGTTATTGCAGAAGAAGAAGCATAGGAACGACATCTTGAAACATAAACCAGCAACGACTCCATAAATAACCTTCCGTTACCCGATCTGAGGACTTTCAAATCGAGAAAGACCTTGCAGTATCAGCAGCACGTCAATATCATGATCCGTTTCGATGAAGAAAAAAAGGATACCGTGCGCGTTGCCATGAATGCATCCTTTCTCCAACGTCTCATGGGAACTGGTTACTATTTCTATGACGATATCAGTGTTCCAGTTGTGGAGGGAGCTACAGGACATGCCCTCTCACCTGCTTTACGAAAAGACGAAGAGAAGCCACTTCTTGCTGAATCAGACAACCTTCATAAGGATCCCAGCGACAACGAACTCCGTCCCTTGTGGATCCTACTCTGTACTCGTTTGGCTAAGAATGAACAGCAATACCAGCACAATAATCGAAAGTATCTTGCAATCTTTCTGCTCCTTTGGCTGGTGGCTATCACTTTCTTTATTGTTGTCATAACCGATGTGTGTGAACTACAGCTACTATTCCTCTTTATACCTGCCTTGTTGGCAGTTTCTACGAAATGGGCTTTCATCTGTCTTCCGGAAAAGCAAGGAATATTTTTCACCAAGTTGCTGCTGCAGTGCTGGAACCAAGAGAATGCTGGTTTGGAGCAAGAAGAATATTTCCAAGAGATTCAAACCATTGTGGATGATATGGCACCTAGCTTCGCAAAGGTTGGTTACACCTTGGACTATGTGGAAGATTTCCGTGCCAAATGTCCGTTTCTGGCTTATATTCGAATCACAGCACATTCAGATGACAATGATAGTGCAGTCCTTGTGAAAGACATAGGAAGCAGCAATAGTTGCAGTGATGATGGTTACTGCCTTGTTGATGATGCAGCTTCCGTTTCCTCTACTTCCTTGTCACAAGCTGTGTCCTCATCACCATCACTGTCTGATCGGCTTGGGAAGTTTCAATGGGAATCCTGGGAGGAGCATTCAGGACAAGCTGCCGATCAGATTCAAAAGCAATCTCGATTAAAGTCAGCGCAGCCGAATGGGCTAACTCTGTTAGGAATACAAACAAAGAAAATAGCCTCTTGTCGAGGTGTGATTCTGTCTTCGTCCACACTGATTGGCTTCTTTTGGCTGTGCCTCAATACGGGCATCATGTCCTCTTTTTGAAAGTGACGTTAGTGCGAGTCGGGCAACATGTCAACAGCTGATCCTGATGCATTTGTCCTCTATATCATTCCTATACTGTTCACATAGATACCTATCAATAATAAACATTATACGTTTACAATTTTTTTGCGGTCATAGCACCAGCTATTGAGGAAATCAATAGCTTGCCGTGATGATGGTTCTGCGCTCTTCATCACGCTATCATTCCGTTTTTAAAAAGAGTCCTCAGTCTCCTGGATGCAGTTGATTTGGGACCAGTCCTATCGACTCTTCCATACCTATCCTCATTTTCACTTCAGAGGCTTCCACGCTAAGGAAGTGAGCTCTCATGTACCGCATAGTCGCCACGGGGAGCAAAAAAAAGAACAGATTGGAAAACCAATAAACGCCATTAGCAATAGCTAAAGAACGATTCGCTAGGTTGGCGGAAGAGGCAAAGGAAGTTGCCATCCAATGCCACACGAAACCTAATCGTGCAGTGTTGTAGAGAATGGGCGTCAGAATTCTCAAGGGCAGCGGTGCCTAGCATTTGTAGCAAGAAAACTGTTAAGATCGGATGGTGCAGATTCTGCTATACGTTCCACACATATCCGTTCCACGTACCATTACTCTCCGGGCCACAGACTCACTAATGGCCTGTGCACATAGAAGGAAGGTCGACCGAGCACAGGGACCAGCGATTATCATAGCATTGATCGAATCAGCGCTTATCGCCGAACGCAACAGATAGAATACTGGGCCAACCAAGCCAACTAGTACCCCGACTTTGAGCCACATGTCATACTTTCGCGAATGCAGAGAACTCATGCCCATCGGATTAGAAACTAGGAACGGAACGTGTCCTTGGGGAGGAATAGCTGGGACCATTGGAGCCATGCCATTCTGTCGGGGGGAACGGGCTACCATCCCCAGCATGATCAAGTACGTGGTGAAACAAGCCACAAGTCCAATATCCAGGGGACGAACCAAACCTCGGATCAGTAACGCCAATGCCACAGCTATCGGCGTTCGATCCAAACCCATGATCTCGCCTTCAGAGTCGACTTCTTCTTTCGCAGCGGCTCGTCTCAAGATTCGCTGGATGCTCCTGGGAACCAATTTCTTTTTCAGGCCGCGGCGATAGTTGCCCGATGTGGTGGTCACTGGTGCCAAGGTGCCATTGATGGATTCTTCGACGGCTTGGTGAGCCGCTGTCATATCTTGCTGTTCAATCATCACGACCGCGGAGTAGGGGATCTGGCCATTGGGAAACGTATCCGCAAGTCGAACTGCATCTTCATTGGTAGGTGGCCAAATATCGGCTCCTTTGCTGTAGGAAAAGCTGTGTAGTTCGTGGCTCTGTTGTCTCCCCGCTGATATTTGAATCCTATCCAGTTGGATGTTGTCGAAGTGGAATGCACCAGTCGCTGTAAGGCACAATATGCTTATCGAAAGCAGCTGGAGACAACTCATGACATGCAACCGGATACGATTGATGACTTAAAGTTCGGGAGTGCGGGGATGGTGATGTTGTTGTGATCGAGATGACATCAAAACTACTGTCGTCATCAATGCCTGGCCGTAGGTCCGTTTTTTGAAGATCAATTCAAAAATTCAAATATGCGATGGCACAATAAGCACGCACTGCCATCATTATTGATGATACAGTATTAGGCCATACCAGCAGGGTGCTATTAGAGACTCGCTGTTTTGGATCGGGTGCAAGGACTGATGAATCAGCTCGGCCACAAATCACCGTCCATTCAGCTTTTGACACCCGTTTTGCTGAGACTTGGTCAATCAATTGATCTGCCTAGCTCAAGTTTGTGCGACACTTTCCATTATTGGTACGGATTCGGCGACCGATGCTGCACTTCAGAAAGTATTGGCTTTCATTGAACCTGCTCTGAAACAAGGAGATTTGATCTCCATACGCTTGCTGGCCGACTTGGCAGATCGTGCTCCAATGGCGTTTGCCAGAACCGCCACACCGTCATCGTAATCTTTGATTTCGGAATCTTCCGCACCCTCTTCCGATTGCCTGCTCGATGCCTGGACCCATTTACTCGTCAATGGCGCAATTGCAACGACCATCAAGACGTCATCCCTTTCCAGAGAACTTCCCAAGTTGGACGAATTGAAAGTGGATCCTGCCTCTCCTGCATCACAAACGCTCAACGCATCCTTGACCACCTTGCTGCAAGGCTATGGGACCATGCGAGACGAGGAATCCATCAAATCCTGCATTGAGCCAAGCAACCATTCAGTGCCCTTCCCTGTTGGGAGGGAATGAGGTCGTCCTCAATACCTTTTTGCACTCTTAATGCAACTTTTGGAAAATTCCAAATATTCGAGTTCTGTCCAATTGAGTGCCTTGGAAATACTAACCAGTTTCCTTAGTGTTGGAAGCGTGAAGCGAAATCTCATCACACGAAATTTGGCCGACAGTATCGCCGCAAAAACCGTACCAGTCCGCGCCCATTGCCAGTGGAGTCAACGAGAATTTTGATGAATGGGCATCTGAACCGGCGACTCTGGTGGAAGATGCTATAGAAGACGAGGATGAGGCTGTATTTGTGGAGTCGTTATTCGAGAGTATCCTGCAGCATTTGGGTGGTGCTGCAATGACCGTTGCTTTGCCCTTGGTATAGCAACTCCTTTCTTCGGAGGATTGGAAGCACGCACGAGCGGCACTGACAATGCTTGAATGTGGTCTCGTGTATACCCCAACCAGTCTCGTTTCCATGTTGCCACTCATGCTCCAAGCTGGTATTTCTTTGTCCGAATCAGCCAATCTTCGAGTGCATTGGAGAGCTCTTTGGTTTCTAGGAATTCTGGGCGAGACATCGGACCCGTTTATCAGAGAAACACATGCAAAATCAATTCTGGCGAGATTAGCAATTGCGGTCCAATCTCCTTGTAACAAGGTCTCGGCCATGGCATCGTTGGTGATTGTATCATTTTGCCGTGGGAGCGGTGAACAGGACGACGTGGAAGATGCTGAGAAGTATGTTCACCTATTTCTACCATACCTACTCAATGCATTGATGAACGGTCGTTTGGCCTCCAGTTCCAACGGACACTGGCTCTATAACAGCTCGAGTACGAGCGATGGGGGCACTTGCGTGTCTAGTAGAATCGGTGGAAGAGAAGTTCTTCCCCTTTTTATCGTGATGTAATGCCGGGCCTTCTGTTAACTGCACGGTTACCCATAATCGAATTGACTGGAGCTGCTGTAGAAGCTGCAACTATTGTTGGAAGAGCCGTTGGTCTGGAGGTATTCCGGGACGACGCGAAACAACTCTTGTCCTGGATTCTTCCTGTGTTACAGTCACGGGCAAATACTCATATTCCTCTGGAACAACTCTTGTCAGCATGCGCAAGAGTGGCATCTGTCTTGGGGGAAGAGTTAGCTCCATTCGTTGACGTTGTTTTACCAATCTTATTAGAGAAAGCTAAAGAAGAAGACGACATCTCAATTACGGTAAGTCATATTGGTGCTTGGAGCATTTTTGTTTGGCAATGACACCTAACTCGTCACTCTTGCTGGGCATAGGAGGCCAACGAATCTGGTTTTGGGAGCAGCAAAGAATACTAAATGGGTAACGACACAAACAGCATCACTGTGGCGGTTCCTGGAAAAGGAGTTACGAAAGTAACCATCAATGCTAGCAGGATTGAGGAAAAGTCCCAAGATATTCGTGCGGTCTATGAGCATGCCAAGGCTTTGGGTGCACTCTTTGGCCCATATGCCCAAATGTCACCAGACACTGTTTTACCGCTATTGAACTTTCCATACTCAGCAGATGTTCGCAGTACATCGGCTCAAACCCTTGCCGCTGTTTATGAAGCGGCTTGCGCCGCAAGGGCAAATTCGGGAGGTATGCATATTCCGCAGAAATATCTCCCTGGTGTTGCAACATCTATAGCAAAACAAGAAACGACATGAATCTCTATACGCCCTATCTGATTCATTGAGCGAGATTCTATTTGTGGTTCATCAATACTGCAATGATAGTGTATTTCATCGCGAAATTGTGGGTCGCTTCTCTTTAAACAATGCTCAAGCACTTGTTCAAAGATGTATGCAAGCTATGGTTGCCTGTTTGGCACGACGAAAGCGCATCACACGAGTATATTGGGAGGTGCTGTCAAATTGCGTCAAATCGCCGGTCAAGTGTTGTCTGCTGTCAGCGATGGTGAAGAAATTGTATCACCTGGAACGTGTGAGAATCTAGTTATTATTTTGAAACTCATGCGTAGTAGCCTACCTCAAGACATGGTGCAACAGGCGAATCTCCCTTCGTTTGAAGAACTGACAATTAGAACAAACCCTTGTCCGTACGATTGTGGTCGGTCGCCCGCAGCTTGACTCAAGTCCACATTGTGAATGAATGGTCTTATACATACCACAATGACAACCACTAGAAAGACATTGTGCAGTTTATTTTACTGTCCTTCATGGATCATTTGTATTCCTCTTCCTTCATAACGTCACTGTTATTTTCGCCGCCATATGACACAAACCCCATTAATATCATACATCCACCTTCTTACATTGTCCCCCTAACAACGATCGCCATAATAACATCAACACACATCCTACAGTAGGCAGACTGGAGAAACCACTTTGGATATCATTGTTCAAACTTCCTAACTGCTGTACATGTAAGGAACGATGTGCTTGGCGGCAAACGATCGAACTATTTCGCACTTTTCACTTTCGTCCACCATATCGAGTAGGTCAAGCTCGCTTCCCACGTCTCGACTAGCGGGGGGCGCAAACAAGCTCTGCGAATCCGCCATGCTCATACTTCTTTCTCTATCCGAACAATTGCCACCTTCGTTATTCTCGGAGGGGCGACCTCTTGTTGCTGAGGGGTCAGCGCTCTAGGGTCATTCACTGGACTCCTGTCTGCTCCGCGAGGAGGACACTTGGAATTGCGATCCTGGGAGTTACTGTAGTGACCATCGAATTCCCTCAGCCTCTTCTTTCTACGGGTAAGGAAAACACGAATAGCTCGGAATGGCTGCCGTTTTGCAAAAGTGTTTGGGAGATTATCGGCAACTGTTGTGTCAAAAAGACTATTCAGAAGATGCTTTGCATTTGCCACAGCCTTCTTGCCACCAAGACAGAGTTTGTATAGGACCAAGTCTGGATCATCATCGGTGTCATCACCGTCAAATGCAAATTTTGAATATACGTGAACCTAGATTCCGAAGCTGCATTTTTGTGTGTGCTTACTCCATCATTCACCAAATCAATCGCGTCGTTTGCTGCCGGAATTAGTGGCGTGGGTGCGGATACAACCACCAGGAGAGGCAACGCCGTGGGTGTTCCCTGAATTTTGGAGTCATTGAGTGAAACATCAATCGCAAGGGGTTGCTCGGTTTCATAGCTTTCCACTGTGGTGTCCTTTGCATAAACACTGAGGTTTCTTGCATCGCAATGTTGGCAATAACTGCGCCTGTTGCGTTCGTAAATTGATTCACGCAACTCTCCAACATCTCTACTTTCGTGTTCACTCCTTGTCCACTTGACTCGGTCTACTTCTCCAAGCTCCTGTTGACCAACACAAAGTCGATAGTAGAAGTACTTGTATTCATTCATCGTTGCTTCACTGGAAATATTCAAATTGCGTGTTCCCGTATGACTAAAAGGACCATACGATTGAAAGGAATATAGAGAAGCGCAGACGCCATGCTTCTAGAATATTCTGGGAAGTTTGGAGAGCTTTCTTATGGAAGCAAAACAGGACATTTTATCCCTTTCGACACTCTGTGTTGAATCGATACGGAGGTCTAGGGAAAGAGCAATGCGAATCCTATTGGGATCTGTGAATATTTCCAGATCTGAAGGCAATACGATTCAGCTCGCAATCCGAACAGAATCCTAAATGGATATGAATTAATAGTAATACTGATGTATGGTTTGCTATAGTATTGATAGATTGTTATTGATACAGGAGCTAATACCCTAGCCGCCGACGATCCTATTTCAGGAGAGAATCAAGAACTAGGGGCGTTGAGGCACCCACAGCTAGTTGTATTCTCATATTTCTGACACGTGATACCAACGAATGGTTGGTTGAATCATTTAATTTGGCAAATAGATCTTTAGAGAGGCTTCATTGTCTTTAACATAACAATAGACTTGGACTTCATAGTTTTGTGGCTTGGCTTGCCTCAGCCTAAGCTTTGGCGATGGAATGAAAGTCTAGTTGAAAAGGTAGACTATCCTGGACAGGCAGGTGTACAAAGCAATTGAGTGTGGGCCACTGAATAAAATGAACTTAATGGATCATCAGGCAATTGCTGAGCATTGGATGCTCCTGTCTTGAATAGGGAATACGATTGGTAGTCCTCCTTGATAGGATCCTTTGGGTGCACATTCTGCCATTGTGAAGATGACATCGAAAGTCTTCATTACGTTCTTAGAGCCTTTGATGTAATGGAAAATTGGATGGAAATCTTCAAGGAAGAGTCTCCAATGCAGTACTCTTTGGCAAGCCAGCAACATTGTAGTAATCTTTGGCAGAAATCACAATTCTCACACCGTACTTAGCACCAATCCACTCCATTAGACATCACAGGCAGAAGTGGTAACTTTGTTCCAGCTCTGGAGGCTGTTTGAATGAGTTGGATCCTTGGTTGGAGACCATTTTTGTTCAAAACTGGACCAAAATAGAGTGTGTCCGGTAGATCAGCGATCCTAGCTCCACATCAGAGTGATCATTGATCCTCGCACTTGCTGGAGGGCGAGGGGGGTATGTGTTGGATAGATCCCGCAACTCAGTTCCAAAAATTTTCACCATGGTGGAGTCCAATAGGAGGTAGATGTAGCCCAACTGGTTGTCTGTTGTGGTAATTTATATTTACTTAAGGTCTGATTTGATTATCTTTCTGAAAGCCAGCCATAGGTGATAAGTAGTCCATTGGACCACATGGTTCCAGAATACCCCTTTCAACCATTTTGTTGAGTGTCTGTTTAAAGACTTCTTCATGGGCTTTGGGGACCGAGTATGGTCTGCTTTGAAAAGGCTTTGCTTCAGGAAGCAGCTCTAAGCTTTGGGACCTTTGAAAGGACCTAGCTTGCCAGAGCGAACAATATTGCCATTGAACAAGGGTTCAAAATCTTTGAATACATTATATAGATCTACTTGTTGCAACTTGGTGAGATGCGCTTGTCGCTTGGCAACATTGTCCAATGGGACTAGATTGTATTTTGACTTGTCAATCAATGCGGTCGTCAATGAAATTGTTGAGCTCTTGATCGGGGTTGTAATGGAAGCAATGTGCTTTGGCCTGCTGGGCCATCATCAGTGATGACTCTTTGTTTGGTTTGGACGGTTGCTTTGTGAGAATAGGATCTGGTTTCCACAGTATGCGTTTGTCCAACCACTTGATGGTTTGCGTTGAGGGAAGAACATCGATACCAAGGGGAATCAGGATGTCATTTCCCAAGATGATATCGTTTTGTGAAGGTGTATTGAAAACAAGCGCCTTAAAAATGTTATCAACCTTTTGCGTGGGAGAAAACTTGGGGAAAATGATTCCTGAGATATCCACGACTTGCTTCTTCTCATCTTTAAGGCCGTGTAGTTTGTCCGTTGATTCCAGGAGGCAACAAATCTCTGTGAATATGAGATGATTTGTCAGAACCAGGGTCACACAAAACACAAGCAAGACATTTTGCACGAGATCCTTGCAAATTTTTGCCTATTGCGACCGTTTCAGGTCTAATATGCATTTTTAGTTCTTTACTTAAATTATTGTTTCTCTCATGTATTGTCTCATAGACATTGCCGCCATTGCATATACCGTGAAGGAAGATGAGGGACCATCTAAAATGTTCGTTTCGGTAATGCAGGTCTTTAGTCTGCCAATGGGGCAGTCATCAATGTGATGTGAGGGTGTTTCAATAAAATAAGATACATACCTCCAGAGCTGGATTCAGTGTCGGACATATCTGGATCCTTGTTTGTCTTCTCTTGCTTCGTTGGAGTAAGATCAATGACGGTGGTAGATTGCGAGCCCTTTTCTTTTGTAGATTCACTTCTGGAATCTTGTGGGTCTTGTGGTTGGGCTTGAGAGTACAAGTGTCCGAATCCTTGCCATACTTGGCCAATTACTTCAGACGCTTGAGATACTCCTCCTTGGGAATATCGTTCTCCTTCTTGATGGTCTTTTGTTTCCTTGCAACAGGTTCATCCGAGTCTTTGCCAGATAGACCGCGACAACGTTGCTTCTTCTGCTTCATCTTGTAGACGTTGTCCTGTTCTTTCTTGGCGGACTGTGTCTCCTTGCGCCGCATGAATGATGAGATCCTTTGCTTGGTCGCATCTTCAACAGTGTTGTTCTCAAGGAAGGCATCCTTCCACTTGTTGGGGTGACAGTTGAAAAAGCAGCGGCTGAATTTGTCATCGTTGAGGGGCTCAATGTCATGAGACATGTAGGGTAGGAACGAGTTGATCCTCTCCATGTAGGCCAGATTGGCTACAACTGAGACTGTACAAGGCTTTGTCCAAGCACAGAGTTGCTGAATGGCAAGATTGGCATCTTTTGGGGTTCCTTTAGTGAGGAGTCAATTGCGGACCTTGATTGTCCAGGTCTCAACAGACCAAGGCTCTTCATCCTCTTCTATTTCTTCAAGGTTGTCCCAAACGGACAGTCTTGTATGGGCATAGCCTTCACCCAGATCTTGTTAAGAAGCTTTCTGAGGGTCTTGCCATTTTTGTCTTCATCATGATTGATTTCGCAACATCGTTGAGGATAGTAGTGAGGAAATCAAAACACTTGGGAATGGACATCAACTCTTTGTAGTCCAAGCGTTAAGTGGTGACACCGTAGGAGGTCTCACCCACGGTAGCCTTGAGCTTGACTTGATCACCACAAATGGGCTTGTAGATCTTGGGACAAATAGAGTAGGTCCTCATCGTGCCGCTTCAGTTCCTTAGCGGTCTTTTTTATTGGTCTATTTTTATCAAATCCCACAAAGAGTGCTAGCAAAGTAGGGACAGACAAAGGCACAAAAGCGGAGGTCTTGTAAAGATTGTTAAAATAGAAATTGTGAGCTTATTCTGAACTATAGCATCCATGGGTAGCTTGCTGTAGCTGTACAGTCAGTCGATTGACACGCTGGCTTCTCATTAGAAGGTATGTACTAGATCATGGATATGGAGGAGGTAGAGAAGGAAGAGCGCGTTGACTTGGCAAAGAAGAAAGCATCCACCACCGCTTCAAAAGAGAACTTGACCAGAGATACTACAAGTAGTGATGATGATGATGATGAGGATGAGGATGAGGATGATGATGATGATGATGATCTAAGAGAACCAAGCCCTTTTGCTGCCGGGCATCAGAAGAGCCCTTCAATGATGGATTAGGTTAATGACTTTGATAGTGACAATGACAAATCTTCAAAATTTGAAAGAAGCAACCTGCAAACAAGGCACCTATCAAGATTGATGGTGATGATGACAACCAGGAGGAGGACATCTACAGCTAAGGAATGTAGAGTCTAGTATCTGTGTTATAGTGAAATGTGATATTGAATTGACTATCTATACTGTGATTACTTCAGTGCCATGAAGTTTCCTATCAAAGCCTGTCAATGCCATGAAGTGTTCTATCAAAGCCTGTCTGCGATGATGAAAGTCTGCTTCAGAGAAATCCTGACACCATTTGTTGTTTGTCTGAAAATCTCCCATCTCCCCATCTTTAAGAGTAGTATCTTGTCCGGCCTCTCACATGTAGGAGGTTGCCTTTTTTGTGTATTGACCATCATTCAATAAACCGTAGGATATTCCGGGTACATCCCAGGTATCTGCTAGCTGTTTCTTCATCCAACAACTATGTTGCACTTTTGCTCAGAACTCTTCTTCCAGACTTGCAGATGTGCCGTATCCATTTTTGAACTGCTCATGAAGATTTTGCAAGAGTTCTGATTCTTCTGTGCCAGGCAGAGAACGAAGTGCAGCTCTACTATTGAGCTCTTCCATGTTGTCATCCATACAATAAGCGCGGACAAAAGTGTGGGACGCAAATACTTCAGAAGGGCCAAACGTAATCTTGCTAGTCAATGTGCAAAATGTATCACAGAATCCTCCAAATGCATCTTTTGCAGGAACAAGAAGTACTCTGCTAACAACCTTCTTCTTTGCCAGCTCCCTGATTGCAGAATGGCCTAGGGTAAGGTTGTTGTCATCGGAGACAGCGGTAGACCCAAACACAACCAGCAAACACAATGCTCCAGAGAAGAATTCAAACACTTCCTTGTCATTGCTTTCTTCTATTCTCTTGAATCGCTCTGTCATCCGCTGGCATTCCCATCTTGCATCTGCAGGAGAATAATATGCACGCGACTTGATGGAGATCACCATAGGCGCAAAGTAATGTTTCCCTTGTCCTGACAGCTTGATGGGAATGCCAAGGTCAATAATGGGACAACCAGGGAATACGTAGAAAGCTGTCCCGCTTGCGTACATGTATGATAGAAAAATCCTGCAAACAAAATCCTTCCCAGTTGGCTTCACAAGCACGCAAATAGTTATGACAAACCTGAATGAAGCTAATGCAAGCCTCTACTTCAACTTCGTAAGCTTCATCCATTGTTATGTCTGCTTTCTCAATAGTCCTTTCCTGTCTTGAGACCTGTGATTTGGCAGCAAGGAGGCGTTTGCTCTTCTGCTTTGGCAAAACATCCTCGTCGGAATGATGCCCATGTCTTCTCTCAAGCCCACCAGTTGTTAGCTGCTCTATTCAATCTTCAAGAGATACTGAAAACATAGTGTGATTGTGATTGTCCTGATGCTGAAGTACATTGGTACAAACAAGAAAGTACAGCGCAACCATGACTTCACCAAAGTCCCCCTTTTCAGGTCAACAGAGCCCTTGTGAAAAAATTTCCTTCTTCTTCCGCAGCCACCAACTACTGGGCCTGCCTTTGATGTCACCCAATGTCCATTCTGGATCCATCAGTTGCATGGTCAGACGACCACAAACAGGATCTGGCATGTAGCATACTATTGCATCTGTTGAAGTGGCATGAGTCAGGTTGGCATATCCGTAACCTACCATGTCCGAAGCCACAGGAAAAGAAGTTTGGCCCATTTGCACCCTGGTACCCAAAATGCTGAGACGTGCTTTGAGTGACTCCTTCTCAAGGCAGCCCATTGTGGTTGTCTAAAGAAATATTGGAAACATCTTTGCGCCTTTATTATAGAAGTTGTACTGCTTGCCACTTGGCGTGAAGTCTTGAGATGCTGAAACTGACAGCTGTGGATCAGCCTCCAGTCAAAAGCTTGCCAAGGTTGCAAGCGTACCAGAAAAGCAACCAATCACTTCGTGTTGTCGTTTCTTCTGCCAAAGCCATAGCCAAATACATCAAAATAGAAATGCATGATGCTTAATGTTCTTGGCGCTCTTGTCGTCGTTGAACCTTTGGGATTCCAAGTATACCTGGGCTTCATCGAAACAAAGAAATATGGTATTTTCATTATTGTCTTGATTGGATGCTTCACCTACCAATTTGTCATAGACAGTATTCAAGTATTCAAGTACTGCCGTTGCAGCATCCAAGGCTATTTTTTTCTTCCTCCATAATTGCTTTGAGATTTAGCCTGTGAGAGAAAACGTTGTCATTCTTCTGCGCATTGAAATGTTTCAGTGTCCATGGCAAAACTGTATAGCAAGACCAATTATTCTTTTGTTTCGACTGCTTGCAACCTTTGTAAATTGATTTGGTCTTTCCCATCCCGCTCCACTGTACGACACAAAAGTGAGGTGCATCTTCGTAGTCCAAAGCGTTAAAAGAATCCTTTGATGCATCGAACCATTTTGCAACACGCTCAGCTTGAAGAACAAACTTGTGAACATCGTAGGAATGAGAGAGCTCTGTTTTGCTGATGAGATATTTGACAGGAACCATACGATCATTGGTTTCGGATGATACAGTTGGCAATCAAGCTTGCTCCTTCAAGACGTTGGCGCACAAGGTTGAAAGAAAAAATTAACCAAACCTGTCATTTTCAATTTTCCATCGTACTGCTGATGCTTGAGAAAGGTCCACCAGCAAGGGCTGTGGCAGTCTTCTTAGCACTCTTTGCTTCTGAGATCATCTCTTGATTCCATGAAAAACAGCCACGACAATAACATCACATATCACATCTTTACAAAAATTGACCGCTTTTGCATCAGGAAATTCCTTTGCCTTCCCAATTATTGCCAGATACTCTTCAAGAGTCTCATTGTCATCGTCTGACCATTGCTGCAGTATAGAGGACTGTACAAGCCTTTCATCTGCTGTAGATTCGATTTCTTCTTCATTTCCATGTTCACTGTGAGCCATATCCATATCTTCGTTTGATGTGCTGCTACTCGTCGCTTTGACTTCAGATTCAATCATTATAGCATTAGGATCGGCTTTTGAACGTTTTGCTTTTCGGTCTAGTGTGATAATGTTATGACTACAATTGCTCATTAGATGAAATATGATCTGCCATATCTCAGAAACTATGTGAAGATAATGACATTTCTGTCTTGACGAAGAAAGAAATCATTTTCCAATACCTACAGTATTCTGCACTCCTAACATTAAAACAAATTGGAGATGTACCCCTCCTTCTCTAGTTCCACCAGCTTCCGTCCCCCCTTGGCGGCCCGTCCATTTGATTCCTCCTCATTTGGTTTTGCTGTCGACTGTTGATCCTGCTCATAAAATCTTCGTTTACGTTGTCATATTGCAGGTCGGCACGAAAACGAGCTCCGTCTCGTTGGCAAGCCTCGAGATCATCAAGTACTTCTTGAAATCTCAATTGAAGCTGTTGGTATTGCTCGTAGTACTCATTGCTTTGGGATACGGCATTGTCCTTCTCGCTTTGAAGTCTTTCGATTTCCTTTTCTGAACTTGATAGCTGCTGCAAAAGCTTTTGATTTTCCTGCTGGAATCCTGCTAGAGTTGTCTCCAGTTCTCTTTTGTCGTTCTTCAGTGCTTCTGCTTCACTTTGCATTGACTTGACCAGAACTTCTAAAGCTCTTTTATCTCTCGAACTATTGTCGATGTCATAGCGTTGCCTTTTGTTCTCGTCTTCCAACGATTGCATGCGCATTTTCATCCCATTCTTCTCGTCAGATATCTGCTTCAATTCATTCAAAGAGACTTCAAGCTGGTTCTGCAACCGGCTGTAAGCTGTTTGGCTCTTTTTGACAATTTCTTCGTTTTCAGCATTCAAATTGCCAATCTTGTTTTGCGACGTCCGGAGCTGTTGCGACATATCATCCATCGTCAGTTTCATGGTTGTGGTTGTATCCTGAAGTTCTTTCTTGTCACTCTTTAGAGCTTCTGACTCTTCCCTAATTGAATGGACGAGACTCTCCATGCTTGCTCTATCCTTCTTGTAAGCTTCTAGTTCGTATCGCTGTTTCTCGAATTCTCCGACCACACCATCAAATTTTGACTCCAATGAGTTTCTGTCTTTGATTTCTAGATCATACTGATTTTGCAACTTGGAATAATCGCTCTGCAAGTTTGCAATAACATTTTGCAAGCCTGATATCTGATCATTTGAGTTCCCCAGCTCGTATCTTTTTCTCTCACTGTCACCCTCCAATCCTTGTAGCTTTGCCGTAAGAAGATCATTATCATTTTGCAGTTTTTTCTTCTCATTTTCCAAGGACACCGCTTCATCGCGAATCGCCTGAACCATATTTTGCATGTCGCTCATTTGCAGTGTAAAGTTTTCCACCTGCTGCTTTTGTCGCTCATTGTCATCTCTGAGTTGGTCGTTCAAGTTCTCCAGCTTCTGTATCTCAAGATAGGATCTGTCTTCGATTGACTGGATCATACTTTCCATGTTATCTATCTCAGATGTAACAGCCTGGAGATCCTGTCTTTGGAGCTCATTCTCAGATCTAAGCATGGAGTTCTCTTGAAGCAAATTATCATCCTGCCAAAGAGGAGGAGGAGGCGCCGCCAGGTGGTTATTCGCGGGATAATTGTTATTGGGGACGGGGACGTGACGGTCGAGAGGGTCAGAAAGCAATCCATCATTATGCCAAAGAGGAGCTCTGTTATCGGGGGCGACCTGAGGATTAGAAAGGGAGCCCCGAAGAAACGATTCGAGTTCGAATTTTTGCCTCTCGTTTTGCTGCTGAAGATGCGAGTTTTCTTGCGCAAGTTCCATGTTTTTGGAAGCAAGGTAGTCGTGACGACCATCATTTGGAATTGGTGGAGGATCACTAGGAAGCACCTCAACGACTTCCGCCTGGACAACTTCATCTTCAGCTCCTTCATCCTGCTTAAAATCTTGCTTTCTTGATGATGATGATGACGGTGTGTCTCGAGAATTGTGCGCAAAATAACCTTGATCGTATTTCTCTCTTTCGAGCTCATAGGCAGACTTTTGAAGCCCTTTGGCCTGCCGAGAGTTTTCTGATGATTTCACTTCCGTCCATCTAGGAGGATGCTCGGTCACGGTTGGGAAAGTGGGAGATCCTTCCCTGTGAAATACTTTGGCCTCTGCAGTCTTCTGTTGCCCCTTTTCTTTACCAGTGCCTGGTTTCACTTCCGTCCATCTAGGAGGATGTTCGGTCACGTTTGGAAAAGTGGGAGACCCTTCCCTGCTGGGGAATACTTTCGTATCTGCTGTCTTCTGTTGCCCCTCTGCTCTAGGAGGAGCAGTGTCTTTTGGAAGAATTGTTTCCCTCTCGGGTTGTGAATTTTTTGCGGCATCATCCCCGCCATCTACGACTGGAAGATGAGGTGTAATGAGTACACGTGTGCTGCCAACGTCTGTTGAGCCAACGGTTTCAGTTGATGTAGTTCCCTTGCTGTTATCTTTGTTGTACGGCGACAGGTTCTCCAAGTATGAATTCTTCAGAGGTTGTAGGAAACGAAACTTGATTGTGCTTGTGGAAAAGAAAGCCGATGTTGAACCTTCAAAGATCAACGCTATAAGGCAAAAACATGCTGCTCGATTGCCCATGACGATGTCACACCTATTGTGCTTGTTGTTGTTTCTATTTTAGAATTCGGTGGATGTCAACTTCGAAAGCATCATCGCCAAAAGTCAGTCTCGCACGTAGAATCAACTACCAAGTTCTCCGTTGAAAAGTGCCCGCGAATTTATCTTGAAGGATACAGTATGGTCTGGCATTAGTACGCTGTTGTCAGAGTACTGGAGTAGTGCCACAAACTTGACGATGCCATAGTACCGGTACTATTATATTGGGAATCACAAGTTTATTATTCTATGATTGCTACCTATTAGTAAATAAATTGTCATCAGCATAAGCTCTATCACGATTTTTTTACGTAGCGAGACAAACAGCAAACAAGCCAAGAACAACACACACCTACAAAAATTTCAAATTGCCTCAATGTTAATCTTTCCGATTGTGACTTCATCGTAAACATCCACTGTTGCTGCACCAAATGGATCCTGAAGGAATATCCCACACAAAAACACAAGTGCATATTATTAGAAAGCACGCAAACGAAATACTATATGAGCATCCCAATAGACCTACTTGCACCATAAGGAGTATAGTATACGTACCGCTTTCATAGTTTCCATTTGTCGGATTTTCAAGTCCCCTCCTTTCAGTATGACTCCAATTTCCTTTTCCCGCTGATGATTGAGCTGAGCAAACAACTTGAGCGGTTTGATAGCATCATCATCCTCTCCTGGCAATGGCACTCGATCCGTTTCCAATTGCAGCAAAAGGAAGGGATACAAGGGTTCCTTGAAGAGCCCCCAAACCCAGAGACCATCTTTTCGTTCCGTGGGATCCTCGGAGAGCAACCATCGGCTCTTTGTGATTCTCAATTGACCAGCAACTGCTGTACCTGTAGCAGTATTTTTTTCTTCTTCTTCTTCTTCTTTTTCTTGATCAGCATCATCCAAGTAGACTTGTTGAAGATCGCCCTGTGGTGGTTCGTATCCTTCTTCTTCAATGAACTGAGCATTGATCGTGAACAACATTTCCTCTACTTTCTTGCCCTTTTCGGTTGGAAGGCCTTGGAGGAGAAACCTCAATTTCCATGTGGTTTTGTCAGTCAGAGTGGTAGTTGCTACGGATGCCATGAGACTTGATGATGATCGGCATGATCGGCATGATGACGACGACGACCAGGACGTTGTGAAGCATGTTGACGCTTTCACGAGTGCCAAAATGATTAGGATGACCACTCGAAACACCGCCATGATTTCAATGTAGTGCAGTTGATGCTGCGATACTGTGGTGGTGGGTGATATTCAAATTCTATTTCGCAACTTTCCCACAATACAATGACGACTACACAAACTGTCAAAACAACAACGTAAGCGCTGACTGGACGACTACTGACTCTCGTCGAAAATGCCGCCGAGGTACTTGTATAGGCTCAACCAAAGTTTCACATACCATCCCACGAAGTGGGAACATGATGATGATTCATGTTCTTGTGCTCTACCGTACCAGGTATTGGTATCTTTTTTACCATTTAACCTGTAGTACCCAGGCAAGTGATATGCTGCTTATTCCGAGAAACTATATAAATATTACATGAAAGCACATTCGTGGGAAACGATAATAACAAACAATCACAACAAGATCAGCCTTTCTAATTTATTATAATGATAGTATATTTGATAATATAATATATACTGTACTGTAGCCAGTCCACACTCGATGAATAAATGGTTTTGTGAACTGTAGTGGCGGCCTCTGGTGTGTCATGACATGGAGAGAATTGATTGATTGGATGTATAAAGATAATGGAAAAGTTCTGCACCACCTGCTGAGTGTGCAGAGCTAGTTTACAGTTCATGCATGGATGCATGAAAGCACAAGCTTGTGTCTGTTGTTTGTGTTGTTTGTGTTGTTTACGCCAAGCACGTACAACAAGAGCATGCAACGGGTGGAGCATCACCCCCACAATCCGCAAACAAGAATCCACCATAGCTTGGAAAGCTTTGTCTTCTGTCATCGAGAACGTTGCAAATGGGTTCCAGAGTTCCGGTCAAACCATTGTTTTGAATGGAAAAGGCGGCTGTAGAGATTGGTGTAAAAGACAGTGTGAGTAAAAGAAATCGATTGTATCACATATCATGTATAACTAAGCAAGCAAGCATTGACTTACCGAGCTCTTCAAGTTGCAACAAGGAAAGGATTGGAATAGCACCCGAAAGGTCATTGTCTTCCAAGTTGAGGACGTTCAAAGTACTTAGATTCGAAACGGAAGCTGAGATTCCTCCAGTAAGGTTGTTATTGTTCAAGTCAATGTTGGTAATGGCAGGAAGTGTATAAAGTCCAGCTGGTAATTCCCCGGAAAGACTGTTAAAGTCCAGATCCAAAGTGGCCAGTTGAGTTGCCTGACTAATGCCTTCTGGAATGGATCCCGAAATGGAATTGCCCTCCATGATCATTCGCTGCAAGCTTGGTAGTCCAAAGAGTTCGGCTGGCAGTTCCCCAGTCAAGCCGTTTTGGTCCAAACGAACCGCCGTAATGGGAACGTACGAGTCGCTGTCAGTGGCAGCAGTGTAACCATCGCACTCGAGTCCAAACCATTCGCATTCGTTGGATCCAGTCAACCAACCAGTACTGGTAGTCCAAGACGAATCTCCTCCTAGTGAGTAATACACAAGAGCCGCACGGTACCGTTGCATGATACGATCGGCATCAGACGCACAGATAATGGCAGGATCCATTTCGTCGACCCACATACGGGCTTGGAATTGAAGGGTATTGCCAATCAACAAGGAATCTTCTTCGGACAAGGGAGTGAGAATGGAAAGAATATCCCTGCTGCGTTCCGAAGCCGATTGACTGCATTTGGCTTCAATTTGAGGTCCACGTTCGTCAATGGTGGGTGCAGGCGTGGGCATGGGCATAGACATGGACATTTGAAGGAATCGATTGGTCTCGTCTTGCAAGAATGCGCCATCTTGATTCAAGTCAATAAAGCCCGAAACAGCATTGATGAGTTCATTGTTGTTGTTGTTGTTGTTGTTGTTCGATTCAACCTCGAGCGACTTTCGGACACGCCTTCGGAGACTTCCAGCTTGGACGGAGGCGGCGAAGGCAGCAATGCAGGTGGTGATGGCAAGAAGCTTCATGATGGATGGATTGATTGATCTTGTGTGTGTGTGTTGGATATGTGAGCAAATAATTGAGAAATGCTAGGTGGGAGGCCTCACGAAATTTTGCTGGAATGGGAATTGCCCGCCACTGAAAAATCTCAGAGGACTTGCAACGGAATGCTTTGCCTCCATACCAGTACTGCTACAATCTGTTACCTGGTATGCTCTGGGCATTTTGCCTCCAATTTGCCTCATTTGCCCCGGCAAAATGTGGCGCGGGAGATTTGAATTTGGGCTGGGGTATGTGTGTTGTTAATTATGGGCTGGGGGGCGTTGAAAAGAAGTCATTTGCGACTAGAATAGCACAGGGCGCGCTCGAGAAAGAGTCACACAATGTCCGCGCCGAACCGCGTAACGTTGACCTCCATTCGCTCATTTTCGTAGCCGGGTGTAGACTTGTACTGCAGATTTGAATCCAATTTTTGGCGCACATCAAATGACGGTCAACATGTGTTCCATATCGCAACAATTCAATCTGAAATCATCAATCAAAATCGATCGTTTCTCGTCGCAGTCAATAATCAATCAATCGATCATCATGACGGTGTAAGACTTGGGGGAGTTTGGATAATGGATACTTTCACTGTGCCTGGTACTGTCAATTGGCGGATGCAACGCGCACATCAAGAATACATGATATGATATCAACAATGTCTGCCTACGTGCATTCCTACATGTATACAATCGGACTGGACTGCTGGGCGCAATGAGTATTGATGCCCCTAAAGTGGCTGTCTTTCCAGCCAGGATGATATCAGGGTAGACAATGTCATTGTATGGCGACGAAGGATATCTTGCCTACACATGCATGTATGTGTGTGTGCCTGTTGACACTATTATACTACCACAACAATCATTCGACACGAGTTTGTTTGCCAACCTTTAGTCGTGATATACATGTATATGTACATTGACCGGATTGGGCAGCCACAATAGCAAAAACAACAATCTACCAGACGAAAAGCAAGCCCACCAGAAAGTTTCGGAAAGGGAAAGCGTGCATCTCCCCAAGAAGCATCATGTAGGATACGAGTACAATGGAATAGTCCTGTATTAAATGGACGATTGTTTGATTATCATACTCCTCCATTCGATTAGGACTACTAACAGCACATTACACAATCATTATTATCAAACCCATAGTCCTACATATTATATATATATATATATATTGTAGTTAGATCAATTCCCCAGACTCCAAATGGAAATGGTCCAATTGTGCGACACTAATTCCAGTGCCAGAACTGGCATAGTAGTATCCTCCTTCGTTGATAAACATGAGTCGGACAGGTGAGCCATGGGATCCATCGTATTGGATCACAGTTCCGTCCAAGTCGACAAACAATGGGTCTCCCTTGTGTATTAAAGCAAAATCTTGATCTTGCACATTCTTGTGGACCATCCAACTTGGAAAGTTCTCATTGTCTGGATCGCAGGGCCATGGAATCTTGGAACTCATCTCGCCTTCTCGTTGGGATGGGGCGGATCGATAGCAAGGAACCTGACCATTTGGATAATACTCCTTCAATTCCTGTTGCAACACTTCGTTTGACTTTTCACATTGGCATTTGTCCAAAAAGCAAAAGGCCGCTTCCAAGGCCGCTTGAGTTTTCTCCACTACATCATGTCGTAAGACACCTTGGGGTACTGGACCAACTTCAATGGACATGTATGAGGATGCAATGGACGATAATTGTGGTCGATCGTGTTGTCGTTCGTGTGTGTGCATCAGAATTTTGACATTGTCCACACCACACTTGGCCCGAATGTACGCGGCGCATTGCGTCATGAGCGGGTCTCCCGCTCCCACAATCAATGTCGTTCCCATGTTAGTGGTAGTCGTGTGCAAATCAATAATGACATCCGAGTCTGCTTTCTTCTTCTTCCCTGTTGTACTGCTTTCGGAATCATCATCAAATTGTTTGGGGCCCAATAGTTCGTTGATTTCCTTTGCTCGTTTGGCTTCCCAACTATTATTTTCATTATTGGCGTCACTGTCTTGCAAGGCGTCGTAGGTAAACTGCCGGTTCAAGTCGGTATCCACAAAGCGTTTGTTTTGCATGTGGGCTTTTGTATTGGCCAAAAGTGTAGCTATATGAAGATTGGGAAATTTCTCGAGAGTATCCAGTCGTCGTTCGAGACTCTTGATGCACCAAACACCTGTATATAAAAGGAAATTGATTCCAATATAGTGTCATGTCGTCGTCAAACGAATATCATATAGAAGAGAAAGAGTCAGGATGACTTTTCTTCTGTGGGTAATGCACGCAATGACTTGCAAGGAGCTGCTCACCAGTATATTCATTTCCATGCGTTCCTCCTGCATGCATTGTCGGGTGATGAATTTTTCATAAAGTTCGTTAGCTAACAGGAGTAAATGTACTTGGCGATGACGACGACGCAGAAAACAAATATCCGTCCCCATGAAATGAAGACACGTTGCGATTAGGAAGCGACAAACGTACCAACCACGGTCACTTTGATGGGAGGTGTCGCCGATGACATGCTGATAGTAGTGATCAAGATGATAATCAAAGCCAGAAGTTGAGAATTGGCAAGGCCTCGTGGCTTCCCCGAGCACAAGATCGCCATTGGCAAGCACCCAAAATGAATGGACGGGTTGCCAATTTGACATACAGCTACTTCAGTACCTTTTGGACTCGTTTCTATGTATTTTATGTCTTTTGATTAGACCTACCGGTACAGTAGTATTACTTGCAATTCAGATCTTATCCTCCCCAATCTTTAGATGGACAACAAGATGTCATCAAACCAAGAACATTTATGGGGTGAACGCCACTCAACAAATTAGCGCTTGACCCCATCTACAAAATGTCAACTAGCCTGGGACCTCCTCGCCTCTCCACAACGAATAACAATGTCCCCTCTCGTCAATGGATCATGCTTCTTTCCATCAAGCTTACATCATACTCCAGCCCATGGTCAAAGCAAACGTGACAACTCCCCAGACGCCTCGTTCAAATGCGGCACTAAAGGATCTTGATCCAGGAGCAGAAGTAGGCGGTGATGCTCTTGTTGGCAGGGCTGTCGCTGTTGCAGAGGGAGATGGAGTTGCGAAAATGGGAGCAATACGAATATTGTAGAAATGGTTGCCCATAAATTCGCCAAACTTTTGACCATTCACGTCGTCCATTGGAATATGAACACCTCCAAGCACTTGACTTGCCGCCACCTTGTTGACATAATCATCAAATGTAGCCGTGCAAATAATGACATCTGCGGCTGGGGAATATCCAATGGTGCGGGGTCCTTGGTTTGGAACATCAGTCACACCTGAAATGTACCCGGGTTGACCAGCTTCAATCTTAGGCTCGTAGGTACTCGTTCCAGCCTTTCTCCTAGCACAGTTAGCACCTTGGATGAGGCCATCTGGGAAGAATCTCTTGAGAGCAGCCATAGCAGCACCGGCGGCAGCAGCATGCCCAGATGTGTAGGCTGGATGAGCAGGTGTAGGCAAGTAAGATCTCCAGAGATCGCCTTCGCTGTTAGTGATATTGTGAACTCCCATGTAGGGCTTGTTCCACGCCATGGTCTCTTCTCCGTGGAAGTGGCACTGAGCAACAGTGATGGGTCGAACACTTTGACTGTCTAGCTTCATGGTGACACTACCTGCGACGGCATCTCTGGCTGCTCCGATGGTGCCAAACAGTACCAAAACAGAGTCTTCCAAAGACAATCCACGGGCTTCGACTTCGTCCAAGATCACCTTGTGGGCCAGGACAACAGCGTTTCGTTGAAAGTGTTCAGCTTGGAATTTGGCCATGTCGTCCAATTGGGCACTTGCAGCCATTACCGAACGGTGCTGAGAAATGAACTCTTCAGAGGAATCATCAAGAATGGCACTACCAACATCAGACGCTTGAATCAGATTCTTTATCTGACGCCCGCCGTTGGCAACAATAAGTCTGGCATCATACAAGGGCCCGAAGTTAAGCTCTTGGGCCTTGCACTTGCCTGGATATTGTGGGTCGTAGACGCAAAGCGGTTGCCAGCGAGAACCGTCAACCAATCCGTCACAGTTGGTCAAGGAGGTATTGGATGGAGTGTTGATCAAGTTGAAATCAGGAGAAGGTCCAGGCATAAATTTTTGAAGGACACCCATTACCAAAGCAGCGCTTTCATGCGTCAAAATATCGGCAGAATTGAAACCGAGGCTTTTCATTTTAGCATCCAATAGTGCGATCTTTTCATCTGCACCTGAGATCAAGCGACGAATACATCCAAAAGCGGCGTGTCCGACAAATTTGGCAATCTCATCTTCATCAGTGGTGGTGATGAGTTTCTTGCGGATCATTCCAGCTTCGGTAAGCGGGCTCCAGTCATTGGCACCATTAGCGGCATATGCTTCATACATAACAGATTGAAGCATACCCAACTTGTGTGGCTCACCAAGGGTTCCAGGGATCAAGTACGTGCCAATGAAGGCGGCTTCGGTGGCGAGATTGCTGTAGACAGGCTCAGTCGAGGATTCGTTGAATTGACGTGCATTGCTATCAAGGTCGTTATTGCATGAGCATGTTGCTGGTTCTTCTTCCTCGGGTTCGTCTGCGGGAAGAAGAGGAACAACACGAGTTTCGTAGAAATGATTGCCCATGTATCGACCCCATTGAAGTCCATAGTGGTTATCCATTGGCACATGAATACCTCCCAACAAACGACTCTCAGCAATTTGCTCGGCGTAGTCATCGAACGAAGCAGTACAAATAGTAACATCTTGTGCAGGAGAGTAGCCGACAGTTCCTGGGCCTTGGTTTGGAACATCGGTCACATTTGCAATATATCCTGGTTGACCAGCTTCAATCTTAGGCTCGTAACGACTGGTTCCAGCCTTTCTTGTAGCACAGTTGGCACCTTGGATGAGGCCGTCTGGGAAGAATCTCTTGAGGGCAGCCATGGCAGCACCGGCGGCTCCTGCATGTCCCGATGTGTACGATGGATGAGGAGGTGTAGGCAAGTATGGTGTCCAGAGATCGCCTTCATTATTGGTCATGTTTCGGACTCCCATGTATGGCTTGTTCCATCCTAGGATATGAACCCCACGGAATTGGCACTGAGCAACAGTGATGGGTCGGACACTCTGATTATTCAGCTTGATCGTCACACTTCCGGCCACTGCATCACGGGCGGCTCCAATGGTACCAAAGAGTACCAAAATAGATTCTTCCAATGAAAGTCCACGAGCTTCAATTTCTTCCAAGATCATGCTGTGTGCAAGAGCAACGGCATTGGGTTGGAAGTGCTCAGCTTGGAACTTGGCCAAATCGTCCAAATGGGCACTAGCTTCAAGAACAGCACGGTGTTGGGCAATGAATTCTTCCGAGGAAGAGTCCAGTTCGGCACCTGGAATAGCAGCTTGCGCAATAAGATCATTGATTTGGCGCTCTCCATCGGCAACGATGAGTCTGGCATCGTACAATGGCCCAAAAGATAGGTCTTGAGTCTTGCATTCAGCAGGGTGTTGTGGATCATGGACACAAAGTGCTTGCCAGCGAGCTGCATTAACAAGGCCTTCGCAGGCGTTTACAGAAGTATTGGATGGAGCATTGATTATGTTGATGTCAGGAGAAGGCCCGGGCATAAACTTTTGTAGGACACCCATGACCAAGGGAGCACTTTCATGCATCAGGATATCGGTACTCGGACTATTGAATCCAAGGCTTTGCATCTTGGTATCCAAAAGAGCAATCTTCTCATCAGCTCCAGAGATCAGTCGGCGAATGCATCCGTAGGCAGTGTGTGCAACAAATTGGGCAATCTCGTCTTCATCTGTTGTGTTGACAACCTGCTTTCGTATCATTCCAGCCTCAGTCAAAGGTGCCCAATCGTTGGCTCCGTTGGCAGCGTACGCTTCATACATAACAGATTGAAGCATCCCCATCTTGTGTGGCTCACCAAGAGTACCAGGGATCAGATAGCCACCGATGAAGGCAATTTCAGTAGCGAGGTTGCTGAAGACTTGTTCCGTCGAGTTTTCGTTGAACGAGCGCACATTCTCATCAACGTTGTTGCACGTGCAAGCCGATTGGGCTAGTGCTACAGAGAAGATCCAGCAAAGAAGTAGGAGGGACTTTGAAAGCGACATGGTAAACGAGACTTTCATCCTTATTAAATGATTGATTGAGTGTAATATTCAATATAATCGAAAGTAAAATGTGAACCATGTGAACCCCTTTTGAACTGACCTTCTCTGATTTATTTTGTTAAGTATTTCAATTTCAAAAATATTGACCATAATTGTGCGATTTCTTTCAATTTTTAAATGTTACGACTCTCCCGACTGAAAAGCGTAATGAACACTACAGTTGTACCTGTCATCGACCACCCATCAGAAAACGAAGATCATAATCCTGATGTTGTTCTTGATAGACCTTCTCCTTCTCGTTCCACATTTGTGTGTTGCCTTGTCGACACAGAAAGTAACGCCACGATCCCTCACAGTAGAACAGCAGCTACTCAAAAACTATTTCTCTATTACCTCTCACATACAAGATCCAGCACTCTACTCCGCAAGTTGGGCAGATGCTTGTCGCTATGATCTCGACAATCAAGTCTTGGTGACAACAAGAGATGTCTCCAAGTTTGAAGTACTCTCATTATGCTCAATTCATGCGATTGGTCTACGAGGGTATGGAAGAAAAGGAAGCGATTGGATTGTCTATGATGAATCAAAGGATGGAAGCTTTTTCCTGTCAGATTCGTCAACATCAAAGTCAAAAGGGTTTTCGCCAAAACCAAGACCCGCCAAGCAGAGTCAGTTTCGGTATTCAGTGCCATTGTCTTCAGGAAAGGACGAAGTTGTGTTCTGTGACATTAACCCTATACGAGAAGCTCAGCCGGGGTGGATGGGTCATCTTGCAAGATCACCTGCAGATGTTAGAGGCAAAAAAGAAGTCCCGAATTGTTGTGTCCTTCCTCTTACGACTCCCTTGTGCGCTCTCGTGTCAACGACTAACATTTCGATTGGAACGCCTCTGGTGAAAGTTGATCCCAGTTCTGTTCCAGCTGAAAAAGGAGAAACGAAGGTGTTCTTCCAACGTTATCGTAATGAGATCGCCGAACTGGAGCAGTATATGAACATGGCACGACCCAACGAATCTAGCACTCGGAATTCAAATGTCGAAAACGACACCACGGTAGTCCGTCAGTACTACAACTTCCCAACGAAGCACAAAGGCTTGCATGAGCTGCACCAGGATCCAAAGATCCTTGCCATTCCAAACTTTCTCAGCGATTTCGAATGCGACCGCCTCATTCGAAAAGCAAACCCCAATCTCATTCCATGTGTGACAAAGAATCCAAAAACTGGAGCAGTCGAAGAAGACGAGTCGAGGACGAGTCGAAACACAAATGTGCCGCAGGTTGAAGTTCCATCCGTCATCAACAAGCTGTGTCAGCTAGCGAATTGCGAACCACAGAATCTTGAAGTCCTTCAAGTGTTACACTACGCAAAGGGACAGTATTTTAACAAACATACAGATGGATTCACAGGTCCCATCAGTGCTTGTGGTTTTAAGAACTCTGCAAGGCTGGCTACCATTTTTGTGTACTTGAATGATGTGCCAGAGGGAGGAGAAACGCGATTTACCAAGTTGGACTTGGATGTCAAACCAGAGAAAGGAAAAGCAGTAGTCCATTTTCCGACATCGCTTGAGTTTGAAGAAGATATTAGGACAGAGCACGAAGGCATAGCAGCAGTCGACGACAAGTGGTTGCTAGTCACATGGGTTTGGATGGACAAGCGTGATGAAATGTCAGTCTACGCGGAGCACTTTTTGGATCCACTTGACAATGACATAATATGATACAAGTCGAAGAAAGAATTAATCGTATATCGTCTATTCAACAAATCCTCTTAATGCCGAGATGCTGTAGAAGGTAGCACCCCCAACGCCAACCTGCTACCGGTACCTGGTAGTGCGTGTGCAGCCGAGCAGATTGATGATGAGAATCGGAGTCACGAGTAGCCCAGTCACGCACAGAGCTCAAACATGCGCATCATCATCAAGGATTGTCATCATCACACAGAATGAATATTATTCATCCGCACGCAAATAAAATCGACAGGCACCAAACTTCCTATTATGACGAACAAGATGCAAAAGAACAATAGAAAAAAGAAATCTGACGGTGATTTATCATCGAAGCAATCGGTAAACAAGTCCTTTTTGCTTTCGGGATTGCCCAAAGATGCCAGCCTCTCCGAAATCAAGGCTTTCCTTCCAACTTGGATGACGAAATCAAAACACCTCGACACCCGACTTGATAACCTACATCGCCTGCAGAGAAGCTCGACGGCCCATATGCACACTCTTAACGCATTGCCAAATGAGAAATATCGAGATTTGTGTAACTTTTTCGTGAAGCAAAGGTTTCGAGATGAATACATTGTAACAATCGGGCCATTGAGAGTCAAAACATCTAACGGAAAGAAGCTGAAACAAAAGATCGATTCGGTTTGTTTTGCTAGGCAGTTCTGGGACTTTATGACACGCAGCGAAGAAATCTATATCTGCAATCGCCACGATATGAGCAAACACTTTATGAATTTCTGTCGTTCCAATGGTGACAATTCCATGAACGCAAATGATAAACAGTGGAAGGCCAGGCTGAGTCAGACAGTGAAAACGATGCAGAAGATGAAGCTAATGAAATCCACGCCTTCCAATAATTTTATTGTCATGGCAATGTTTGCCAACCCTGATAATCTTCAATTTCCAGAAAAAGAGCTAATTCATGAAAAGACATCTAATATGATGCGACAGCTGGAGCACGACATGTGCAACAAGAATGGTGTAACTGTCTCGAACCTCCCAGTCCGCATCATGGGAGCAATTGGGGACAAGGAGAAGATTCAGTTCCATCTGACAGCCGATCCACCGAGAAAGCTCCATTCTGTTGAAGTATCAGGTCCGAATGGGGGCATGTTCCAAATTGACGAAACAGAAGGTCACCCGACTATTCAGTCACCTTCTGTTGAACCACCGATATCAATTACAATGAGCGTTAGACCACACAAACTTGGCATCCTACGCGCCAAAGTGACATTTACCTTTGAAGACGACAATGGGAGAAGCTTCGATATTGCTCGTGTGGTCACCATGTCCTGTGGTTATCGATCTTTGAATGAAGCATTGAAACCAACTGCTCCATACCAGCGCCCAAGTCGACGGAGACTAGAGAACGTTCATTATGATAAGACAAATATTGTGGGTCCGCCAAAGGAAACAATTGAAGACCGTACCGGGGGAGGCGGACCGTCGCCATTCATGCATCTTGCACAATATCCAATACCGTCAGAAGTCGCCGAATCGATCAAAGCAAACAACTATCATCAAAGCATGGATAGGATTGGCTGGAGAATTTCGCCAAATCATGAATCCATAAAACACTATGGAGAATACTGGAAGCATTTGCTCTATGCTTCTGAATGCCAAATGCAACGAGATGTCCAGTATTTTGATATGGTAGATACTTCCCTTTCAAAAGAGGAACGCTACTTTGTGCTGAGGGTACCAGGACTGTCCGAAGGACGACCAAGCGTACTCCGTGGAGATATTGTCAATATTACTTTCAAGGGAGTGCTGTACAAAGGCCGAGTAGTTTCGATCCGGCAGTATGAAGTGTTAATGGATTTGCATTCCAGGTTTGATCAGAACTTCAACTGTGCATCCGATCGTGTGTCGGTTCACTTCACATTTTCACGAATGTCGTTGCGAACATCACACAAGGTACTGGATTATCTAGCAGAATCACAACTTGGTGCTCCCATTCTTGTTCCAACCAACAAACATGTGGCCCACAATCGAGAAGCAAATAGGAAGCACGGGCAGTCAGATGTCAAAGATGTCCACTTAGCACCCTGGGCAAATGATTCGCTAAATCTCGAACAGCAGGCAGCTGTCCAACGTATTGTCAATGGGCATTTGCGGCCAATGCCATATATCATATTTGGACCTCCCGGAACTGGTAAAACCACCACTGTGGTGGAAGCAATTTATCAGCTTGGAAAGCAAGACAAAAAGATTGTGCTACTGGCTCCCAGCAATGATGCTGCCGATGTTTTGGCGGGACGATTAGCAAGTTACTTTCCACCAACAAAACTCCGACGTATCCTGGCCTACAGCCGCAGCATTGAATCGCTTCCAACTAACATCCAATGCTACGCCAGTGACTCGTTGGGCCCCGAGGCACAGGCGCGTGAGATTAAGAGTGCTCAGATTGTGGTTGGTACCGTCAATTTGGCGTCACGGTTTTCGTACTGGGGTATTCCTCGTGGATACTTTGATGTGCTGTGTGTCGACGAAGCGGGACACGCGACAGAGCCAGAAGTGACAGCGGCTGCTGCTTCGTTGATGGACTTCTATGGCAAGGAAGGTGCAGTTGGACAGCTGATTTTGGCTGGAGATCCCAAACAGCTTGGGCCTATCAGCAACTCCGACATTTGCCGCAAATATGGACTGACAATGTCATTGATGGAGAGACTGACGGAACGGGAGGTTTATGGCCGTCAGGCCGATGGGAAGTACCCAGAGAACCTATTGACCAAACTCGTCAGGAATTATCGATCTCATCCATCGATATTGAAACTTCCAAATGAGATGTTCTATTCGGACCTACAGGCTTGTGGGGATTCTACCGTAACGATGAACATGGCAAATTGGGAGCACTTGCCAAAGTCTGGTTTCCCCGTCGTGTTTCATGCCGTTGATGGGGAGAATCTACGAGAAGGAAGCTCGCCGTCATGGTTCAATCCCACCGAAGCCCAACAAGTGGTCGAATACGTGAGTCTCCTCACAAGAGAGAGCAACCCTCCCATTCCAGCTCAAGAGATTGGTATCATCACTCCGTATTCCCGTCAAGCACAGAAGATTCGTTTGGCCTTGGAAATTGAAAATATGCCGGAAATCAAGGTTGGATCCGTCGAAAGTTTTCAGGGACAAGAGCGCCGCGTCATTATACTATCGACGGTACGAGCCGAGCAAGAAATTGTCAGTCATGACCTGAGACACAGTCTAGGCTTTGTGGCGCATCCAAAACGCTTTAATGTGGCCATTACTCGGGCAAAGGCATTGTTGCTTGTGATTGGATGCCCTTCGGTTTTGGCGCTGGACAAAGCAAACTGGTTACCCTTCATGAAGTACTGCTACGAGAATGGGGGTTGGGCAGGTGAAAGTTGGGATCCTTCCATGGCTGAAGATGACATTATGGTATCAATGGGAATGATGTCACCTGACGACAATAATAATGACTTGAATACTGCTTGTCTCAGCCCTGTGGCACTGGAAGAGGGATTGAAGGTCTTTCATGAAGAAGTATGATATAAAATAGAATTAATGTCATCAACACTGCTATATTTTTAAAGGTTTACACATTGCATCCTGCCCAATACACTGTACTAGGCTCTACCCATCTGCTGGAATTTCATGCCTCAGTTTGCCGTGTGCACCTCGCCATGTCAATTGTAAGACTCCATGTATCTGTGGTGGCACACCATCAGACGCAGACGCCAAAAGCTGTTCACAGAGTTCCAGTTGGTCCTTGGAGGCATTCGTCCATTCCAAGTCCAATTCTTTGAGAGAGAGCCAAAAGTTGGGTATCTTTTGGGGTTCCATATCTTCAATGAGAATGGCTGTCACCATATCCGACAATAGATTGGCATTGCTCACAAATCCCCCACTCTTGTTATTGATCAAATCTGCTACCTTTGTGGTCATGTCGTGCCTTTGAGATATTGGCGCAATGGCAGCCAATCGGAGCCAGCGCGGAAATTGTGGAGGTAGGTTTGTGGTGGTATCGGAATCAGAAGATACTTCGGAAAAGAGTCTCGTTGTGCCTGACGGCGTGACATTTTTCAGTGACGGCTGCCATGCAAAGGCTATACAGGAAAGACTGATTCTGGGAGTGATCATAGTTTCAGTTTGCGTCCAAAGTTGTGAAAATTGTCAACCGGCCATCATTCACATCGAACTCTTTCGTGTTCACGATTGAACGTGTCAATCCAGATGATGAGCTTCATTTAATCGATGGAGTCAAAGATCTGGACTTTCCGCGCGATGAGCGAGGGCGTGAGCTGGTAACGCGTAACCTCAAAACCTGAAAAGATCGATATCGTACTGTACCTACAGAATTTGGTAGCGAAATAGCAGAGTAACAAATGCCCAAGCTTCTTTTGCAGCACAATCACAGTTCTCATCATGAAGAGCAAGAACCAAACGAAGAAGACAAAAGGCAACGCAAACCAGACCCCCGTCTCCTTTGTCCCCAACACTTATCTGTTATCAGATTTGCCAACGGATGCCAAACTTTCTGAAGTTCTAGCCTTCTTGCCTGCGTGGCTGAGACTCTTTGAGGTAAAGGCCAGCCATTTGCAACGTTTCAAGGCGGGTTCCACCGCACGCCTGGAGATTGTGGACTCCGCACCCTTTACCAACCAACACTATAGGACGCTGTCTGCCTTTTTTGCCGATGCCCGATTTCGGGATACCCATCAGATCCAAATCCGACCTTTGGAAGCACCCCGGACCAACAAGGCACGAAAGAATGTTGCTACTCGTGAGATTGCCAAACAGTTTTGGGATTATTTGGTGGAAGGAAACAATATCATGATTTGCAACCGAGACGACGTGGGAGACTACTATAGCAACTTTCGCGAAACGATTGGAAACATGAAACGAGCACGAATAGGGGATATTATCCGGCATTTGAAGACTATGCGAGCCATGAAGACAGTCCGAGTCAATCATCATGTAGTTCTGGCCATCTTTGCGGATCCAGATAGTCTTGACTTTCCAGGTCAAGAGTTCATTGACAAGGCTTCAGAAGTTGGCAAGGCCAAATTGGAGGAAGACAAGTCGAATAAAAATGGAGTTACGATTTCCGAGCTTCCTGCTCGGATCATGGGAGCAATTGGAGAGACGGAAACCATTGAACTGGAAGCAATCACAGAGACACCGATATTGTTGCGTTCAGTGGATATTTCTGGTCCGAATGGGAAACTCTTTCAAGTGGCCAATGACGTGCCCATGGCAGTTGGACCTTTGCTCACTCTTCTAAAGTTGACAGTGAAACCCAGCAAGCTTGGAGTGATTCGAGCCAAGGTTACCTTGAAGTTTGAAAATGATGATGCCTCCACATTTGTCATTGTGCGGATGATTACCATGTCCTGTGGAGACAAGGCGATGAACGAAGTCCTAAAACCCACCTCCAAATATGAAAAGAAAAAACGAAGTCATCTTCGCTTTGACAAGAAGGATACAGTGGGGCCTCCGAAAGAACCCAAGCTCATAACTGGTCTACCGGGAAGTGGTCGAAACGACGGACCAAATCCATTTGCCAAACTACCGTATTACCAGGTGCCAACCGAAGTCATGGAGTCTATCCGAGCCGATCAGTACAGCAAGGATACCATGGATACCATTGGCTGGAATACTTCACCATTGCATGATTCGGTTCAAAACTATGGAAAGTATTGGAAACATTTGTTGTATGCTTCAGAATTCCAAATGCAACGAGACATTCGATTCTACGATATGGAAAATGCTCCACTGTCCAAAGAAGGTCGATACTACGTGCTCAAGGTTCCTGGACTGGCCGAGGGACGCCCCAGTGTTCTTCGTGGAGATTTGGTGCAAATTGACTTTCAAGGTACGCTCTACAAGGGAAGAGTCATGTTCATTCGACAGTTGGAAGTGGTTATGGATCTTCATGCAAGATTTGGCAAAACTTTTAATGCTGGATTGGATCGGGTGACGGTGCACTTTACCTTTTCGCGCATGTCGCTTCGCACGTCGCACAAGGCAATGGACACCATTGCGGAAAAAGAACTGGGAGCCTCCATTTTGGTTCCCACCCAGGAACATGTAGCTCAATATCAAAATGAGAATGGCGTTGGGCAAGTCCGTCTCGTGCCAAGGGCAAATCGATCGCTCAACCCCGAGCAAGAAGCAGCCGTCCAAAACATTGCCAATGGTCACCTTCGACCAATGCCATATATCATCTTTGGTCCTCCTGGTACGGGAAAGACCACCACTGTGGTGGAAGCTATCTACCAACTCGGCAAGAAGGGCAAGAAGATTCTGTTGGTGGCTCCCAGCAACGATGCTGCGGACATTCTCGTCGAGAGACTTTCGTCTTACTTTCCACCCAGCGAACTCCGTCGTATCTTGGCGTACAGTCGCAGCATCACGGCTCTTCCAGCCAGCATTCAATCCTATGCTACCGATTCTCTAGAATCGGAGGGTCAAGCTAGGGAGATTATGGGCGCCAAGATTGTGGTCAGTACAGTGAACCTGGCAGCTCGGTTCTCGTACTGGGGCATTCCTCGCGGACACTTTGATGTAATGTGTGTCGACGAAGCAGGCCACGCGACCGAACCAGAGGTAGTTTCGGCTGCGGCAGGTTTGATGAACTTTCAAGGGACGATGGAGGGCAAGGAAATAGGACAACTCATCTTGGCAGGTGATCCCAAACAGCTTGGTCCTATCAGCAACTCTGACATTTGCCGCAATTACGGAATCACCATGTCTTTGATGGAAAGGCTGACAGAACGAGAGGTATACGGTCTGCAAGAAGATGGAAAATACCCGAAGGATCTGTTGACCAAACTTGTCAGGAACTATCGATCACACCCATCGATATTGAAGCTACCAAATGAAATGTTTTACTCGGATTTGCAGTGCTGCGGAGACCCAATGGTAACAAGGAACATGGCCCGCTGGGAGCACTTGCCAAAGTCTGAATTCCCAGTCATATTCCATGCCATTGACGGTGAGAATCTTCGAGAAGGTAGCTCGCCATCTTGGTTCAATCCTACCGAGGCGCAGCAAGTTGTGGAGTATGTGCGACTGCTGTCACGCGAAACCAAGCCTCCTATCAAGGCAGATGAGATTGGTATCATTACTCCGTATGCGCGTCAAGCACAAAAGATTCGTCTTGCACTTGGTACTCAGCACATGGATGATGTCAAGGTTGGATCCGTGGAGAGCTTTCAGGGCCAAGAGCGCCGAGTTATTATTCTGTCGACAGTTCGAGCAGAGCGTGAAGAAGTCAGCAATGATTTGCGATACAACTTGGGATTCGTTGCGAATCCAAAGCGTTTCAATGTGGCCGTCACTCGTGCAAAGGCTTTGTTGATTGTGATTGGATGCCCTTCAGTTTTGGCACTGGACCAAGACAACTGGCTCCCTTTTATGAAGTATTGTCATGAGAATGGATCTTGGGCTGGGGAAACTTGGGATCCTTCCATGGCTGAGGAGGGAATGGATGATTTGGCATCCACGGGATCAGAATCATCTGATGAAGAAGAAGACGCGGACGGCCCTAGTCGTGCTGCGGAGGAAGAGGGATTTGTTTTGGTTCATTCTGAAGAATAAAGTCTTTGACTTGTATAATTTATAGGTAGTTAACCCAGAAGGTTGCTTGATGCATCATTTGTATCTACTTTTGCCTAGGTTTTGTATGTTTGAGAGTAGCCAGATTTTGGCATGTTTTAATTTGTGATGCCTCCATATTTAGTAGTCCATCAGTCCCTCGTCCAAGACATTCCATTTCCACTTGCCACAAGATCTTAGCAGTATCCTGGTCATGCTTGCGAGTGATGTTTCTCTCCGGTGGGTACTAACATTATGAATATGGTCATCTGTTTTAGAATGTTTGTCGGACGCAATGGGAGCTCCTTTGAGGTAGTTAACCCAGAAGGTTGCTTGATGCATCATTTGTATCTACTTTTGCCTAGGTTTTGTATGTTTGAGAGTAGCCAGATTTTGGCATGTTTTAATTTGTGATGCCTCCATATTTAGTAGTCCATCAGTCCCTCGTCCAAGACATTCCATTTCCACTTGCCACAAGATCTTAGCAGTATCCTGGTCATGCTTGCGAGTGATGTTTCTCTCCGGTGGGTACTAACATTATGAATATGGTCATCTGTTTTAGAATGTTTGTCGGACGCAATGGGAGCTCCTTTGAGGTAGTTAACCCAGAAGGTTGCTTGATGCATCATTTGTATCTACTTTTGCCTAGGTTTTGTATGTTTGAGAGTAGCCAGATTTTGGCATGTTTTAATTTGTGATGCCTCCATATTTAGTAGTCCATCAGTCCCTCGTCCAAGACATTCCATTTCCACTTGCCACAAGATCTTAGCAGTATCCTGGTCATGCTTGCGAGTGATGTTTCTCTCCGGTGGGTACTAACATTATGAATATGGTCATCTGTTTTAGAATGTTTGTCGGACGCAATGGGAGCTCCTTTGTGTTTTTGCTCCTACCGACGGCACAGAGGACAACGTTCACTTCACATTCGCTTCGATTCCACTCTCTTTGGGGAACGCCGATCGGCCAAATAGTGGAACGATATTGTTCTCAATATGTGTTGTGGTAGTAGGTATTTTGGAAACGCAGCTGGCATGATCCCATCCCCCTCCAACCCAATCTCACAACATGTCAATGGCATTGGGCTGCAAACAAATAGTGACCATTCATCTTCCAGATTCCAAATCCAAACAAGAAAGTTTGAAATGTTGGATAATCCGGAGCGGGGTCCTACTCTGTTCTCTGCTGATGGTGTCAACGTTGCTTTTGAGTAAATTTCACGTCTCCCAACTTCGAATGGAAATGATACGCATCGGTGCATAATTTTCAATCGACAACGGTGCAATAAATTGCGGCTCTTGATAAATCTTTGGATCCGTCAATCCAACACCACTTATTTGCAAGCAGTTTGATTCATTCATTCATTCAGGTGCGTCCGAGAATCGACGACGATGAAACATTTTCCTGAGAACGCGTTGATTTGTCGTTGCTGCGTGCTGCGTGACAGTGCGTATGAGGCATTCATGGCGCCATCCCAACCGCCACCTTAACATGCAGTTTATTTCACAACCCCCCCACACATCTATATCTCCCAACCTTTTGAAAAACCCCAACCTTAAAACAAGTTCTTCCGTTGGGGACGTCGTTGAACCTGTAGTTTGCCCTCCTGCCTCTCAACATGTCAGGAATCTTAGAAGAAATATTCATCCACATTAGTCGGCGGAGCATGCATATTCTCCGTTGTGTTGGTTCAAGCATGCTCTTTCCGTTGGGTTGGATTGGCACATGTAGGTCTTTAGCTGTTGGGAAATGTTGTTGGAGGAGATACATCAACAAACTAAGTTGATGATGGGAAATGGCAGTGTGTATATAATAACATTCCCATGATAATGAAAGGAATCAAATTACTGGTATCCTTTCACCATTTTATTCATCATCATACTGTGTAATACGCGAGTGATCGACCAACGTGACTAATAAATCTTAAAAAAGATCTTGGGGTCATTGCCCTGTTCCCGTAGCAAAGTGACCACAACGCCAAGCCCTCTCTGTTTGAAAGGAGCAGCTTGGAAGGCACAAGATACAAACTCCAAGGCCTCGACGAGTTGCACGCTGGAGAATCACTTCCATTCACAAAAAGCTTCAATAATCTCTGGTCAAAACAAAACCTAGACTTCGCACGATGATGATGTTGAAGAAGGGTTGTTGTTCATTACTCTTGTTGCTCGGTCTTGTCCGCGGCCTTGCTTCTACGTCCCCGTCTACTGGAAAGACTCTCGTTTCGGGCAAAAAAGTCGTGGTTGTCGGAGGTGGTCCAGTTGGTCTTTATTTCGCTGCCTTGATGTCTCAGAAAGATCCAACCGTTCAAATTGAAATTCTCGAGAAGCGCACTGGAAAATCTGTCAATGCGTTTGGTTTGGGTGTGGGGCATCGCATGCAAAACCGTCTCAATGATATCCCTGGATTGTGCGAGAAGGCGATTGAAATAAGTGCCACAGTGGAAAGTCTCAACATTCCTCTTGTGGATAGAGGTGATCTGACCAGGCAAATGAGTTCTTTTGTGCTCGACAAGTTTGGTAGCAATTGCCAATTGGCACTTGGAGAAGAATGTGATTCGGTGGACTTTGAGAACAAGAGTATTATCACGAATACTGGTAGGACCATTCAGTATGATTTGTTGCTGGCAGCTGACGGAGTCAACTCGAAAATCCGACAAAAACTCGTCGAAAAAGAACCAGAGACTTTCCAAGAGCAACATTATCTAGAAAACTCCCATTGGAAGGCGCTCTCACTGCCAAAACAACCCGATATCGGAAAGGGATCATTCAAACCACTCAGACACCCTTCCATTGCTAGCGGACGAGTGCTACCAAAAGCTCCAGAGGGACATGTTCTGTTGCTCTTTTGGAGAGACGAACATGGAATCGATAATCCGATGGGAATCGAGACGACCGAGGACCTCAAGCAAATGATCACCGACGCAATGCGAGACAAAAATACCCGGGGAGTCAATCCTCTCCGAAAGCTCTTGGGTCTCGAACAAGGCGACAGCCATAAGAGCGATCGTGTTGTAGTCTTTGAAGAAGCCGCTTTGGAAGCCTTCATCTCCCAACGGGCCGGAAGATCACATCACTTGAAAATCAATCAGTACCATTACCAAGATTCAGTGGCATTGATTGGTGATAGTGCGCATGCCATGAATTCTCTGCTAGGGCAAGGATGCGCCACTGGTCTAGAGAGTACGCACACTCTTGTACAATGTCTTCTTGGGGAGGAAGAGACAACGATGGAGAAGGCTTTGTCAAGATATACAGAACTTGCCACAAAAGAAGCTCATGCCATGACCGAACTTAGCCTGATCAACTATGCCATCAAGGGTCCTTTGACCATCCTAAAAGCGTTACCATTGATTCTATTGAACATGCTTCGTGGGAGAGGCTTGTTGAAGAGGCTTGTGGACATTAGCGTCCCCTTTTCACAAATCGCGAAGGAAAACAAAAGCCTGCTGAAAATGTGTCGTCGGAAATTTGAAAAGCAGCGAAGAGCATTTGCGAACTGAGCATATCTGAACCGAAATCATCGTGAGTGAACGATGATGGTCTTGGCTACTGGCTAGTACTGTGCCATTCCAAGGGGATTGAAAGAATGAAGGGGGCAATCTCTTCTGAGTCGAGACTACTTTACATTTACTTACGAAACTTCTATAAACTATTCAGCAATGAATATTTTCAAAGCAGTTGGATATGGTTTACATTAGGAGTTGCTTTGTGTATGAATCAATCATATAAAAGGATGAATCTACAAACTATCATGGAAGTACGTGAGCTGTTTAATTTCTTCGACTAGTGTGACCAACTGTGTCAAAACGCACGTCAACAAATATACAGTATTTTCGAATTTGACGATGGCCAGGATCATCTCCGCGTGTCATATACTGTATTGCAGTGTGAATGGAATACCGATACATGAGAGGAAGAAACTAAGGCCTTCACGAAAGGGTATTACATCCGCCGAAGGTTGACGATTCTCTGACCAAGAAAATGTGGAAAGCTTATTGTTTTCTGGTGTTCATTCATGGTCTTGTCCACGGCCTGGCTTCTGCCTCGACCACTATTCGAACTACTAGCAAGTCCCTTATTTCTGGCAAAAAAGTCGTTGTAGTCGGGGGTGGACCAGTTGGTCTCTATTTTGCGGCCTTGATGTCGCAGAAAGATCCAACTGTGCAAATTGAAATTCTGGAAAAGCAAACCAAAAATCCCGTCAATGCCTTTGGCTTTTGGGCGTGGGAGGTCGTATGCGGCACCGCCTTGGCGATGTGCCGGGGTTGTACGAGAAAGCGACTGCAAATATTGCGAGCATTGGCATTCCCCTCGTCGATAGAAGTGATCTGACGCAACAAATGAGTTCCTTCGTTCTCGACAAGTTTGGCAGCAACTGTCGACTGAAATTTGGAGAAGAATGTGTTTCTGTGGACTTTGAGGGAAAGCGAATAACTACGAGCAGTGGTAGGACCATTCAGTATGATTTGTTACTGGCAGCCGATGGCGTTAACTCCAGAATTCGAGAATTTCTTGTTCAAAAGGAACAAGAACTGTTTCAAGAGCAACACTATCTGGAAGATATCCATTGGAAGGCGCTCCAACTACCGAAACAGCCCGACATTGAAGCTGGATCATTCAAACCGCTCCAACACCCTTCTTTTTCAAGAGGACGAGTTCTTCCAAGAGCTCCAGAGGGGCATATCCTACTGCTGTTTTGGAAAGAAGAACACGGAATTGAGAACCCGGCAGGAGTTGAAACAACAGACGACTTAAAGCAAATGATCACAGAAGCTATGCATGGCAAGAATACGCGGGGGACCAATCCTCTCCGAAAGCTCCTTGGCTTCAATCGAGGTGACAGTGACCGGAAGCGTGATTGGAATGAAGTCTTCGACGAAGCCGCTTTAGAAGATTTTATTTCCAAGCGAGCTGGACGAACGCATCACTTGAAAATCAATCAGTATCATTTCCAAGATTCAGTGGCATTGATTGGTGATAGTGCGCATGCCATGAACTCATTACTGGGGCAAGGATGCGCCGCTGGTCTGCAGAGCACCTATACGCTTGTGGAATGTCTCGGTGGTTGTGACGATCAAACGTTGTCAATCGAAGAGAGTTTGTTAAAGTACTCACAGCTCGCCACCAGGGAAGCTTACGCCATAACCGACCTGAACTTGATTCATTATGCCACCAGAGGTCGCATGGCAATGCTGAAAGCGTTACCCCTGGCAGTGTGGAATAAGCTTCGCGGGCGGAGCTTGCGGAAGCAGCTTTCGGATATCACTGTTCCTTATTCACAAATTGCAGCAGAAAACAAAGGACTGCTGAAATTGTCTCGGCGAAATTTTGAAAAGGAACGACGACCATTTGTGAATCCAGGGATAGCAGCAGCAATTCCCACAAAAAATGAGCTCGAATTAAGTCAATGAAGAGCCAAAAGTTTTCTGAGTTAAGCTTTCTATCTTGAATGCGGTATGTAATATTCTTTCTCTACTTTTAGAGCTCGTTTCTGAGTTCGTAGGACTAAAAGTCTTTAGAACTAAATTCACGAATATGCACTCGGCTCAAGTCCCTCGTTCCATCGTCCGAGACGTTCCACGTTTCCTGCTTGCGACTGATGGATCTCCTGGTATCTTTTCTGAGCTGATGTTGGTACCTTGTTGTTTTTGTACGAGGTTTTTCCAATTTTAGAGCTCGTTTATGAGTTTGTAGCAGTCGCGAGAACTGAATTCTGTAATGTGTACTCGGCTCAAGTCCATGGTACCGTCGCCACCGTATTGCTTATTCTCTCTTCTATCATCACCGGGTGTGCGAGTGACACTTCTTCTAAGAGATACGTCTTTCGCTCCTCTCGTTTCAGGGGTTGCGAGCTTTCCCATTCCGTTCGCGTCTCTGCATTTGAAAGTAAACACAGAGGAGTGTGAGTGACGCCTCGTGGATACATCACTCTTGTCCAACCTTATTTTGCCGTCACGGCTATTGACTTACTGCTTTGGTAGAACCATTGTTGTATTAATAATTGACTAATACTTTTGTTTTTAATTGATTTAAAATTCCAGCTTGATTTGTGAAACTTGAAACTTGGATCGAAAAATCTGGCAGAAGCGAAGATTTTCGATTGGTTGACGTGGGCACGAAGTTCTGGTGACGATCGATTGATCTCGATCGGATGGTTTCGTTGGTTCGTTCTGATCGATCAACACGATTCGACTAATGCGATCATGATGGCAAGTTGAAAGGGTCAACAGCGATGGTCCAGGTTTCAGTTCTGCTGATTGTATTGAATCGAATCATACGGTACTGTACAGCAGCATCCTCCTCCTTACAATGATTGTTTGCAGTGACCTGAGGCTACATCCTTGCTGGTACACAACATCTTTGCCGGAACACTGTACTCGTAGGACGATTAGTGCTGCAATCTTTTCTGAAATGAGAGGTCTAGGACTAGTGCCTTCTAGTATGTTGCGACATTTATGGTGCCTGTTATTTTTATCTAATTTTTTTTATGTTTCGTCTATTGAGTTTGTAGCTGTCTCGAGGATCAAATTTCTTGATTTCCTCTTCTGAGTTTGTAGCTGCCTCGAGGACTAGTTTTCATGAATATGTATTCGTTGCATAAGCGTAATGCATCCGTCATGCTTAGTAGTCCATGGATCCGTCGTCCAAGGCGTTCCATTTTCCCTTGCCACCAGCGCCACCGTTTTGTTTCTTTGTTTTCTTTTCATGGTGATTGACCTTGCGAGTAATGTTTCGCTTGGCGGATCCTTCCTCCGTTACTCTAGTCTCGGGGACTGCATCCTTTCCCTTTCCGTAGTTGTCTCTGTAGTGATAAGAGTTGAAATTGACGAAGGAATGTGAGTGATGATGTTCGGTGTTCGGATAACTCTTTCTGCTCGTTCGAACGCGAATGTCGTGCCGTCACAAGGGATTTTGACTTACTGCTTTGGGTGAACCATTGTAGTGCTTTGTAATATGTTGCTTTGAAAAACTTGATTTGCTTGTATGATTTGAAATTATGAGACGAGACAGAGGATGATCTGAAGATCTTACTGATGTCATCGAAACGAAGGGGTTCGTGTCGAAAGGAAGGTTCGTGTCAAAACTCCGATCGAAGAAGAGTTCGTTCGATAGTTCCGATCGATCAACACGATTCGACTAGTGTGAATCCAATAAACTCGGACAGTTTTGTTCGACGTGATGATGTGTTCCTTCATTTCTCATTCTTCGAACCTCCACTCACTTACTCACTCACTCACTCGGACGTCTCAATCGTTGCTATGAAGAATCATCATCATCATCCTTGCCGATGCCAAAGATAGACCCTCTACTTGTACTGGTTACCTTAGCGGTATCATTTACCCTCAAGAACAAATGTTGTTCTGCATTCCTACCGCCCATTCCAATAATTAAGCCTATTGAAAGCATCATACCAAATGTCTTATTTGCATCAACTCGAAAAATAAAAACACCATCGCATCTGAATCTTCAGCATGAAATCCATTGGTTGGATTCTGAAGCACGAGAAGTTAGCAAAGACGAGGACATTCCATTGGGGGAATCGATTGCAGAGGGAGAATGCGTCCTCGCGATACCCAATGCCGTTAGCAGCGATGAATGCCAGATGCTCTTTCAAGCAGCTTTGCAAGCACAGGACCGACGAGACACGGCTGCTGCTCGAGGCCGTAGCCGATTTTCAGTGGCCGACCCTAACAATTTTGACAACCCCAATGTTGTTTTGACGTGTGAAGAAATACTGCTACGAGTGATCGACTACCTCGAAGAAGCCGCTCCAAGCATCTACGAAACTCTCTTTGCTCCAGGTCCGAACTGGTGCGAATGGCAACCGCTCAATGCCCAACTGGAACAACCTAAAACACCGCCAGATGACGAACTATTTGATGGCTTGAGAGAACTGTACGTTACTAGTCAACTGGAATGGAGTGAAGGAGAACCTGCCATTAACATTTACGAAGCCGATGGATACTTTGGTTGTCACAAAGATCACCTGGCATTGACTGTATTGGTACCTCTCCTCAACCCAGGCGAAAGCTTCTCGGGGGGAGGCACAGGTTTCTGGGCAGGAAATCGAGATACGAGTGAAAACCCGGGGACTCCGCCAACCATTGTCCTCAAACCACCTGCCGGCACCGCACTGGTATTTGGAGGCGATGTCACGCATTCGGGAATGCCAGTAGAGCAGGGACTCCGAAGCGTACTAGTATGCAGCTTCAGCACCAAAACAGCTGCCAGCAATCCGGATAGGTTGCATGGGTTGCATGCTCCACCAACAACGAGTGCCAACTTTAAGGGTACGTTGTAGGCGAAATCGGTAGAGGAAAATCAAGTCAAGAAGTTTGTTAATATTCAGCTGAAAGTGGCGAAGCGATCGACATGGTTGGTTGTAAACCAATTTTATCGTAACGCTGAAGTATAATTTTCACTTTATTCTCCTGAGACATTCAACATATTCAGTCTGTCGTCATTCCCTATGAGATCATGTTACATTGAATGAGACAATCGAATGTAAATCTACTAGACTTCTTCCTTCTCTTCTTGTTGGGAGAGCTTTTTTGACGTTGCTGTTCCTTCTTGCCCCTTCGACTGCCTGGGTCGCAATCGCTTCACATATGGTAGCTTAGTGTGCTCGTCGAAGTCGAATACTTCAGATACCACCGAGAATACATCCTGATCACTCTGAACGTTGTACTCCTCCAAATCAAACACTTCAGTCGCCAATGAGAATGCGTCGTACTTACTTTTCAATTAAATTTGTATTCTCATCTACGACATCGGGTGTAATTGATGACTCGACAGCACATTGCATAAGTACTCTTTCATTTGTCACGGTTGTGGCTGGCAGCCACCAGCCTTCGCAGTCCACTTTCGGTTTGAAATATGAACCAATCCGCAATGGCAATGACTACGAGGATCCAGCCAAGAACGCCGCTCACAATAATCCAGGCAAGTACATTGTCTCGAATCTTGATGATGCCAAATGTAGCTAGTTGTACAAAGGAAAGGATGTAAAACAGTCCCTTGAGCCGCCGTTCGTACTCGGCAGAGAGAAACAAGGACCCTAGCGGAGCTCCAAGAACAACTATGCAAGCGCAAGAAATGAGGGCTTGATAGACTTCTATCGTTGGAGCATCTGACCCTGTAGAAGTCGCTCGGAGGATACTCCCGAATATGCTTGTTGTCGTCATCACAATGATAGAGGAAGCCGTCAGTTCGTTGCCGTTCATTCTGTCTATGCAGCCCATTCTGTAGTTGTATACCAAAGACCCATAAGCGAACCAAGTGATATCTGCTCCTGTCCCTATTTGAGAGGATATCAGTCCTCCCAAGATGCCCAACAAAACCATGCCGGTGGTGTCACAGCAAATGGATAGATTGGAGTGGTTGCTCTTTTCTTCCACTAGTGTGTCCTTGGTTTGAATTTCCATGTCGCCCCTATCGTCGTCGACACTCATGTCAAAAGAAGTTCTAGTTAATTGTTCTTTTGGTGGCATGCCGGAAATATTGTGATGTAAGCAAGTTTCTACGTATGCCAGAATCAGAGCAAATGCTGCAACTGCTGTTGTGTACAGACACATTACCGCGAAGGGGGAGATAGTCCAAAACATGCCAGCAATCAACCCCACCAAATTGAATAACACCGTCTTGGCCAATAATTCCCCGTATTTAACCAGCAGAGTGGGTTTGTTCATCACAATGAGAAAACTTGCGGAAGTCATGCCTATCGATTGAATCATGAGGCTGAAGTCTCGTCCTTGGGAAGGAGAGAATCCAATCACAAGGACACTGATGGGAAAGGCAACAACTCCTCCTCCCAAAGGAGTCGATCCAGCAATCATGGAACCGAATATCATGGCCACACTCAAAGGATAATAGGAACGAAAGGAGTCCAAAAGTACTTTTTCTCGAAGTGCGATGGTCAACCACACTGGAAGTACCATCATTGCCGGCAAGAATCGAATTACGCCGCCCCAAGTTGTCCGGACCATTATTCAAGTAAGGGGCACTGAAGAAGAAGGGTTCACTGGGTTATCGTAGCTTGCAATATATACGATTATGCTAATAGAAACATGTAGATGTGAAATTTATTTTGAGGTTGAGGTTTCTCAGTTTGTTGGCGTGGGCGTCTGTCGTAATACGGTACATTGGCTCGAAAGGTACCGGTACCTGGTACCTGTCTCCTATCTGGATACACGTTGAGTGAGCTGCCTCCATCTACAGTATTGTGTAGCATAACTTTTATAGCGCCAATGGAATCAATTGCCCATATTTCTAACGTGGCTGCCCTGCACGATTTGGCAAGAACTCAGCAGACTTCTCTTCTGCTCTTCTTGCTTCTTCTTGTTGGCACTCCTTGCCATACTACTGGCACTCTAGCGTCAATTTTGTTCGATGGATCAGTTTCGGTAAACTGCATTCCAATGTTCTTATCTGATCACATAGTAGTTTTCAAGCTTTCTGAAGGATGACCTAATATTATCTGTGTCTTCTATGTCTTCTGTAATGCCCAATGATCGTCCATGCACCGAGCCGCTTAATGCAAACAATTTCCAACTCATCGCACAGTCAAGGTAGATGCATATCTTCCCAGCCCATTCGTAAGTCGAAAGTTGCTTCATCAGATTATCTACTGTCGTCGAAAGTGCAAAGGCAACGTCCTCTGTGTCGCTGCTGTTTTCCATGGGACGTCCTACGTTTTCTGGTTTGAGAGAGGTCGAAGAGAGGGACTGACTCCCATCTATAATTGTCGTCGCTGGAGGCATTGTTTGCACCGCCGAAGACTATTGTACTTCACTGATTCTGTGTTGGAATTTATGAACACATTTCAAGTTCAGTTCATTTTGATCGCGTGCGATGGCCATATCAAACAAAAAATAAAAAAGACTACAGTAGAGCTCGTAGATTCCCCGAACCCTGAGTATTCATCATTTTGGTGGCAATGGCTCCATGATAGAGGGCTGTATCAACAAGAGGGAAGCAGGAGGACACAGTGCTGGTACAGCAGCCTTTGCTCTACCAAACCCTTCTAGAAATGAAGCTATCCAATTCATCACCAAGATTGCTCGCATGATTATTATTGAATTTATATTTTAACAGCTTTTTGAGGAGACTTCGGTTTGTGTAAAACGATATCACCCCTTTCCCCTTTCCCATGCCCCATTTGCTATTCATTTATAATTCATTCGTTTGTTTTCCCCAGCTGTAGCCCAAGCTTTTGCATGGAAGATTCCAGCCGAAGCATCTTTGCCATGACGATAGCGCGCCTCTTATCTCGCTTCTCGAGACGGATAGCCTCTTCAATCGTATCAGACTTATACTCTTGCTTCATTGGTGCTATTGGCTCCAATTCAATTTCGGTATCAAGCGAGAACCAGTCTTGCACGCTCAAAATAGTAGAGTCCGTGGATCGCTCATCGAAGGGAGTATCAAGCACTGACACATCGTCTTTCTCGTCGAAATCAAAACAAATGGAAAATGCCGACATGGCAGTTTGTGAATCCCAATTCAGATCATTGCACGAAACCCCAAAGTCCTCAAATCCTTCTTCTCCCGAGATCATTGTGTCATCATTTTCCATAAAGTCTTCCCAGACAAAGCTGTCGTTATTGCTTTCGATACTGTTGTTTTCGTTGACCATTTCAGCTTGCTTGACGATGAAATTTAACTTTAAAATGTGTGACTTGCCGGATTGTCACCGAAACCTTGGTGTTGTTTGCTTTTCAGTAGAAAGTCATTTTGTATTTGTGGTTCGGAGAATTTTGAAAATATGGCATATCATTTTTTTCACCGGGTATTTTCTGACAACAAAATACATAAGGTTATATGCGGATATATGCGAACAATGTGACTGCGAATCGAATATATGACCTTTCGACCCTGGTGTCCGAACGCAAACGAGCTCTTCGATCCGCTACTGATTCATTCAGATACTACCTGGTACCTGGTACTGTCACTATGAGCGCCCATTCAATCCCGAGTCCATTTTCATAAACGGGACTCATCGCTTCTGCGATTATTTTCGTCGCTAAATGCACTCGCCGACCAGCCAACAAGCTTCCCTGAAAATTCCTGAATTCAACCCCCATTCCCACCACCTCTTGTCATTGAGCGTTTGCCCTCTCTTTATCTAGTGTTTGGAAACAACAAATGGGAATCCAATCCAATTTTGCAAGTCCTTCGGAACGGCAGCGGCCTCAGCGAGGCTTCGCTCCAGACCCAAAGTCGAATGGAAACGACGCCCTAGCATCCAAAGAATCACCGTGGGTAAAAGACAGGAGAATGTATGCAGAAAAGAAAAGGAATCAACAACAATTCAAGAAACGAGTTCGGAGGTTTGAGGCTTCACCAGTTGGATCTGCGTCCACCACTTCCACTTCTTCGGCTCATAGCACTCCTTCTCCAACGCAGCACCAGAAAAGTACCAATCCATTTGCCGGTCCATCACCGTTGAATCATCGGCTACCTATGCAGGCAACAAATACCAATCCATTTGCCGGTCCATCACCATTGAATCACCGACCTCTAATGCAAGCGTCAAATACACCCACGGCTCGAAGAAACACAAACCCATTCGAAGAAAGCACCAATCCATTCGAGACGAGCACGAATCCCTTTGATGCTCCCTCCAACTTGGAGACAAGCTTCACTCCTCAGATGAGGAATGTGCGGAGGACGCCCACTGGAGAAATGAGTGTGGACAGCCTAAACGAAGTATTGGAAGGGGGTTATCAGGAAGGGGGTTATCAGATGCCATCTACTTACTCGCTTGCTGAAGAATCCGAGACAACGACCCTCAGTGATCAAGCAATTGAAGCTGCCAAGGCTTTGAAGAAGAGTTTTTATACGCGAAAGGGCAATCCTGGTAGCACTCCCCGAAGACCGCAGCCTGCCACCATTTCAGAAACGGCGCAACATAATCCTGAAGTAGCATTTTCACAGGATCGTCCCATGCCAGCACAATCACGCCCAGCTAAAAGAAGGCCCCGGATCAATCGTCCTTTGCAGACACAGAGGCGAACGGGTCCTGTGGATTTGGATATTACCTTGGATACGGCTGACTTTACAGCGGATGCTGACAATTTACAACTACATGACATGTGTGATGCGGCGCAATCCACGAACGATGCGACTTGGAGAAAGGCAATCTTTCTCCTCAGTGTCGAACCGCACATGGCCAAGAATATGGACCCAGTTAGCAAAATGACGGCGATGCATGTTTGTTCGCTAGGTGTGGAGCCACCGCCAATTTGGATGACGAGAGCTTTACTCTACACACATCCCGAGCAAACCCAACATACGGATTCGGGAGGCCGATTACCTCTGCACCTATTGGCAGCCACATCCGCAGATATTGACACTATGCAATTAATGGTTGAAGAGTATCCTGCCAGTGTTGGACACAGGGACGACCGAGGGTTCACTCCGTTGCAGCTCATGTTGAAGAATGACCAAATTGTGTTGGCTCTCCAGCATCTACGAATTTTACTTGGACAAACAGTGAAGGAAAACGAGGAAGAGCAATTGGCCCAAATAAAGTTTCGAAAGGGAGAGCACTTGCACCAGTCACCGGAAGAGCTACAACTACAAAAGAAACAACAGCAGGAGAAGAGACACGAAGTATTGTTTGCCAACTACCCAGATGATGTCCGGAGTTGTCTCAACAAGATACAACTTTGGAAACATAGACAAGTTACCAAAGGCTTGTTGTTTCGGCCTACCAAACTATTTGCCTCTGCTGATTCGGTGAATCCCGCTGCCGTTGCGACACCTACGGGAAAACTTTTGCCATTACATTTGCTCGTTCGACGAAAGCCACAAGCGGCTCCATCAAGGCTCGTGTCCAGGCCACCAGGGACGGCTACTGACTTGATCCGAATCCTTGTAAATTCGTATCCACAGGCGCTGGTAACAACAGATGCTCAGGCTCGCACTCCTCTCATGACGGCAATGATGCAGACAGACTACCAGCCAAATCAAGAAATAATTGAACTTTTGCTCGGATTTGGGACGCCTGGTTTCAATGTGGGTCCAGCGGAATCACCGGCGGCAATAGCAGCAAGCCAAACATTTCAGCTGCCGTTGCATATTGCAGCAGAAGAAATGACATCCAACTACAATGTACTGTCCACAATATACGAGGCTTACCCGCAGGCTGTCTGTGCACAAGATGTGCGGGGTCGGACTCCGTTACACTTGGCGTTGCGCAACTTTCGATCGATACCTGTTGACGAGCCAACGCTGGCTCTTCTTTTTGAAGATAAAGTTGCGAGGCTCAAAGACCACGACGGGAAGACTCCTTTTGATTTGGTTCTACGAAATCCTGATTTTCTAAAGCCATCCAAGTCCATGATTCTGCAAGAGTTTTTGGACTCGTCCATTTTGAGGCCAAAGGACCTTATGGAGTCGGAGGACTTGCTATTCAAGTTACGGAGTCTACCACCATGGATTCGAAATCATGCCTGTGCAGCAAATCACGTGCAAGAAGTATTGGTGGATGAATTGACGTCTCCTTTTATCACATTTTGGATTCTCTTCAACGGGGCTGTTATGATTTCTCTCCTCGTTCTCTTGCGAATGCTGTTGGATGCGCCAACAAGTACGCTACTGACTGCAATCTACGTCGTTTCGTCTCTGCTATTGGTGAATCAAGTAATTTACTGGCTAGAGGCTATACTTGTTGGCGAATTCTATCGACTATGTGCTTCAAATCCATGGAGGTGGATTGATGTCTTTTCTGGTTACCTGACGTTGGCCACTGCCTATCTCATTGCAGCCGACATGAGTGCATTGGAATCGGTCGTGGGGACAACGACTGGATTTGTACCGACTGTTGCAGACCCACTGATTTCCACTATTGGGTCGATCGCCACTGGATTTATTTGGATAAGCTTGGTTGGCTATTTTGTCGAATGGTGGTGTGGAATGGCGGTCTTTTTTGGATCTGCGATGGAACTGCTTCGATCCTTGGTTTGGCCTCTTGCTTTGGCAGCGGCGGGAATTGTCGGCATGTCGCAAGTGATGTACACTTTGGACGACTGTGGCCAAGAACAGACTTGCAGTGTATCCGACACCTACACGACTGTCTATTGGATGGTTTTGGGCGAACCTATTCTGTCGAACGAGGAATCTTCCACCAACATGGCATCTGCCGGGATGGTTGCAATGGTGGTATCATTTACGCTGCTATGGATCTGGTGGATTCTATCAGTTGTGGTTGTGGCTGTGACCGAGGCTCGACAATTGAATCGTATACAAATCGCTCTGAAATGGTACTGGGAACCAAAGATCGCCTTGACTGTATTGTCTGGGGGAAGACGCAAAGCATACAAGAAGAAGATTAGAGCGAAGCCTTCCTTTGTTCGGCGGTCAAGCGAAGACATGGGACGAATATGGCACGTTTTCGTTGCTTCGTTCCGTGGGGATGTAATCAGAGACAAGCAACGAGACACGTACTGGTATAGCTGTTTCAACAAACCTGGGGTCATTCATTTTACTAGGCTGCTGGCAGTCATTGTCGTTCCAGTTTGGTTGGTCTTGGGTTCAGCAAGTTTGGGTCTACTCTGGCCACCACAAGTGCGACGTTGGTTGTTTTCTACAAATATTGTCAAAAGCAGAGGGGTAAGACAATCTTCTTTTGAAGAGCAGCTGACAGCTTCCAAGCTGTCAAGTTTAAAGGGCGAATTATTGGCATTTCAATCGACTACCTCCCAGCAAACGCACATGACACAGAAGGATATCCAAGAAATCAAAGATCTTCTATACGCAGCCATGGGTCAACAGTAATAAATCTGAAGGATTATGAACAACTAGCTAAAATCCTTAGATTACCACCTACTATTTTCATTACTTCAACTTCAACCACACCACTGGTATCATTGAAAAAGTTTTGGCGAGAGTCGTTTGAGTCGAGAGCAGGTTTTTGCCGTTGGGTTAAATTCGCTTCGTTTATTATAGTCTGATGGAATTGAACCAAGAGCAACTTCACGAATAGTCACTTTTTGCACACAACAACAAGGGGAAGAATGGTATCAGCAGACATCGATACAGCACCATCCGACGAGCATCTTATGGAAGGCTGGGCCTCTAAAGTAGAGACTGTGGTGGAAGATGAATGCGATTTGCCCGTGCGCGCCGAAGAAAGTAGAGATCCTTCTTCTGCAACCGGAACACAAGAAACAGGAGAGTCATCGCACCTTTTTTCACCCGAAGCTGAAAGTTCAGATGCCCCTGTCACACCCAGCAGCAGCCATGGGGGCAGTTGGTTACAAAGAGATGGTATAGAAACAGCAAAGCCGTCCTCAGGTAACTTTTGGTTTCGGAAAAAAGCCAAATCGGGACAAGGGTCCCTAGCGGCGGGAAAGGATCTCGATGAAAGCGCAAGGAGAAACGAAGAGAAGGGTGCTGCACAACAAAATAAACCATGGTGGAAGGCTGGGAGGGAAGTGCCCCAGCCCATTGATGGAAATAAGCATCTGAACGGTATTCATCGCCAATATCGTGGTGATTCATCCTGGGTTCCCCAAGCAGATCCACAAGGTGAAACTGGAATTGTTGTCAGATCCGAACCCGTCAATGTTCTGTGGGATCTCATGTCTCGCGCCATAAGAGAAAGCGCTCTATGGAGGGCCGCAACAAAAGTGCACGATAGTTCAAAAGCTGCCGCAGAGGAACGTGCGAAGCAGGGAGCTGCAGTGCGGCATGGTTTTAGGAGATTCTTCCGAAAGAGGAAGACAGACGACGAAGAAAACATTGAAGCAGAAAAGAAAGCCCCCGCTCCTAAAGTCCCGTGGTGGAGTCGCTTTCGTAGAAATCGTTCGAATGCTGAGCAGCCATCAGTCGATGGCGAGACATCAACGGCGATTGTTCCTTACCAGCCGGAACCACATCCGGTCGCTGCTGCAATGAAGAAAGCTGCAGCTGGAGTTGCGGGCACATGCATGGTCATTGTTGGTGTCCCATTGCTATTGTTTCCAGGTAAGCAATGCTGAACATTTTGCTTTTGCTTCACAAATTCTGATTCTTACCATCACTTGTTTTCGTACAGTGCCTGGACCTGGAGTTGCGATGATTGCAAGTGGAGTCTATGTAGTTTCTACAGAATTCGAGTTTGCACGAAGCTGGTTGGAGAATGTGAAGACCAGATTTGGAACAGTTTTTGACCGACTTGGCATTGAGGTCGCCACACCAGAGGCTCTCGCAGCACCAAAGAGTTCGTCACCTGTACTTCTGTTGCCACCAAGTCTCCCACCGGCGAATGTGGATGGGGAAATTAAGGACTCAAATGAGGAGGAGGAAAGTGACGATCACAAGAAAGAAGAAGGCATCGATTCAAATGAAGTCCATTCGGCTCTCGAAGCAGCAGATGGCGACGACTCTATAGAGGAGTATCGCAAGACTGAAGAAATGATCATCAGGGCTTAGCTCTACACTAACAATTGTGATATCCACTACAGCGCAGGTGAATCATCTAGGACAATGTAACAGAATGCATGACCATGTAATGTCGATATAGCGCTCTAAAGTAAACAAATAATGTACTATGCTTCAGTCGTGTGGCCTTCGCTTTTTTCCCGACTACATGACAGCCGAATGCCTATTGAACAAACTCTTTAACCAGCCAAATCGGCCACCTTTGCTTTTTGTGGGCCACAGCAAACCAACAAAGGCTGCTGCTACTCCAGATCCAACGCCCAACCAAAGCATCTTTTGGAATCGTTGCTTCGCTGCGTCCCGACGCTTCTCTTCCTCGTGTGGTTTGGCACGCAGCTGTTCGATCCCCGCTTCAAAAACACATGAGCGAGCCAGATGTTCGAGAACTGAGCACCTGCTTTTCTCCCCATGGTCACCCTCAGCGCCCAACATGGAGGAGGTTGCTGATGTCACCAAAGGTGGCTCCAAATCCAGATCCCTGCAGTGAAGAGCAGCCCGTTGAATGACGCTGACCTGAGTGTCATTTCCTTCTACCCCACTAGAATCGCCAGCTTCCAATGCGGATTGGTCTGCCTTGGTTGCAACATACACACGTGGAATGTCATCTATCAGGAATTCGTCTTCAAGATGATTCGCATATGCAAGGCTGGCACTGTTCGTTGAATCAAATGCAAGCATCACCAAATCGCAGTTTCCAGGAGTGAGCATTTGCGTGAGGTGTTTTTTCCTCAACGCTTGGTTCTCCGCTTTGGCTTCAGGAACGTCAGTAATCACGAGGTGCACAACAATCGTTTCCTCGGTATCGCTTCCTTTCGAAAGATTCTTCTTGACGCGAACATGGACGCTGGAAGTCATAGGTATGGGTGTCTTCGAAGTAGAAAGGGGGTCCTCCAAACAGCGCAATGAATTCAACAAGGCTGTTTTGCCGCATCCTGGACTACCGAGTAGCAAGACACGGACTTCTCGTGATGGCAATCTCATGTCTAGGTTGCGGCTGTTCGGTTCAATCGCTGCTCGGCTCGCAATGTCTTGATTCTTGCGTTTCCTCTGATAATTTTCCACATGCCCCAATCGAAAGAGTTCAGCTCTTGCAACTGCGGGCGAAACTGCTGATGCCACGTGCCACAGGCCCATCCAATCCAAAAAGGAAAGGGGCTTTGAAGGAACATTAATTGTTGGTTCTTCGGCTGTGGAGGGCAAATCAAGAGTTGGAAAGGTCGCCCCACTGATAATTGTAATGCCACTAGTAGATAGCGACTGCGATGACGCAATCACTTCCCTTAACGCTTCCGATCCGGATGGGGCCGAATCTGTTGGCATTGTCGGTAGACTGAAGCAACCTCGGAATAAATCAGCGGAGCGATTTAGATGCCATGGAGGGAGGGAGTGAGTTTGAACAACAGAGAAGATCTTTTCGATATCTTCCAATGACAAAACTCCGTCCTTGTCCGAATCAAATTGAAGGAAAACGTCAGCAAGAAATCGTCTAGCACTTGCTGACAGCTTCCAAGAGAAGTCAGCTCCGTCCAATCCATAAAGTATTGACTGTGGAAGGTTCAAATTCAGATCGTTATCGTAGCCAAACTTTCGAAGGGCCGTCCATGGAACGTCCAAGCGATTTTGGCATATAAACACATCAAAGATGGAAAGAAAACCATCAGCAGTGAACTTTCCTTCCCGGACAACTTCAGCATTTGGGTTGTTGCGGGTAACTACTTTCTTCCAACCAGCCAAGTCCCGTTCATAGATATAGACACGGAAGGTGTCATGCTGGAATCGATCCAATTCCGAGTGACTTAGCAGACCATCGTGGTCTCTGTCATACATGCGAAAGATGCGGGTAAAGGCTCTTTCACAATTCTCTGAAAGCTTGCCAACATCCAAATTGTAGATGGGTACAATAGGGTAAAAGACTGCCTGTTGGGCTTTCAGAAATACATCATCTACTCGAAGAAGGTTCTTGGCACTGCACTTGATGCATTGTCGGATAAACCGAAAACGTTGCATGAGACTGACAACCTGTTGCCTAGATCGAGCGAGCACTTGCTCGTCAGTAACTCCTGCAATACTTGATGGTAGAAAGAGGTCCATTTTGGTTCCTGCCACAATTACTGGAACCTGCGGGGGGGAAATGTGAATTGTCATTGTTCTCATAATCATAAAAGAACAGACAATACTGCCAAGAGCATTGAAAACGAAAACGTACCTCCCCATTGTAACATCGTTCAATCAATGGCAACCAGTGATTCTCGAGACGAAAGAAGGTCTCATCTCGGTCCAAATCATATACCAGAATAATCGAATCCACCATTTCAACGATTCCGACATTGCTCAGGGTGTTGCTCGAAATGCTTTTGCGCAAGGAGGAGAGTGACGCACTCGAAGCCCTACGTTCAGAGCCGCTCAGGCCATCACCACTACCACTAGTTGCTAGTGATAAGGTTGCTGTGACCGAAGACAGAGCCACGTCACCGCCTTGCGAGTCCACAATTGTAGTGATGCTAGCGTTTAGCGGATCTGGAGGCAAACGCACTCGCGTCATGATTCCGGGAACAACCTCTGAGAAGTGTCGAGAAACAAATGTGGAGATCAACGAAGATTTCCCCACACCCTCTGTTGAAAGATTGAAAGGCGACAGGAAAGGTATCCATGTTAGAATGCAAGAAGAAATCAGGAGTTCCCATAAAACAAAAAATCTGAATCACGCACCGTCACCCAAGACCAGCACTGTAATTGCTGACTTCACTTGGTCATTTCCAACTTCATGGGGTGGCTGTCCAACGCTTGACATCTTGAATACTGTAGTTCAAAAGTGAGGCAGAGGATAGGTCACCAAACAAGCGCAAAGATACTTTCAGAAGGTGCCTGATTACTCTGCCTAATGCACAGGTGTCAATACGCACCAGATTTATTTTCAATCAACACGGGCAAGTTCTGGCAGAAGGCCAGAACAAATTCTGTATCATTGAGACGTGGAATTTCAAATTCAACATAAGTCATTTCGACTCAATCGACACGAAAACCAGAAGTGATTGAGTCAGTCACGTCATTGTTCTTTGTCATAATCTATCATACTGAATACAGTATTCATTCTACCGGTAGTCTAGTAGATTATTAGACACCACTGATGCCATGTAAAGTGCTTCTTCATCGGATACCTGGAAAGGCAGGTGCACCCAATCTGTAGCACTATCCCACATTGGCGAAACAAGGAAGCTGGTGTCCAGATACCTGATCAGTCTGTTGCTGGTATCGTTCTTCTCTTGGACCTCGCGGACTGCTTTCTCGACCAAATAGCTGTATCCATTCATTACAATTGGGGATCGCCAATCTACTATAGGGCAGCTGCCAGTGAAGTCTCCTAATGGAATTTCATGAATGGATCTCATGTAGACTCGGACATCATCGTCTCTCCCGGCAAATACGCTGGTCGCAGTCTCTACTATCTGTTTCATCACAGCGTAGAACCGATCAAACAGATATGGAAATCGATCGATCCTACTCCCAGGCCATTGTGCAGCCGCAATAATGTAAACTTTGCAACCCTGTTCCACATACGACTGATTGAAGAGAGCAGCAGTAATGTCCTCTGGCCACTTCACTTTGACGTGGATAGCATACTGCTTCGGCAATCCAAGTCGTACAAAAGACTCCTTGGTAATTCGGCTATGTGAATATCCAACGAAGCAAACTGTCGGGAAGCTTCGAGAACCACTTTTGACGTTCTGAACCTGTTCACGCCAGACTTCACCTGCGTTGTCTTCCCACTCGTAGGAATAGGCACGCAAACGATACACATCCGTTGCATTCTCGCACCTCGCTGTTTTTGGATTCTCTCGACAACCAATCGGTTGGTATCGGTAATGTATAGGTTTCGGTGGCGACTCTGCTGTTGGCAATACCCAGCGACCCCTGGGTACATAATGTGAAGGAGGTATTACTTGTTGTCGTATCTGAATATGCGAATCGGCACCATGTGTGACACGATTGTAGTTTGGATCTTCCATGCACTTGTGTTTGAAATCGATTGATAACCATTCAGATTCATTCTGAGATTTCGTCAACGAGTTGATTCCAAAGTCCTCGCAGAATAATGTGATAACTTCCAAGAAATAGGTCCCATTTGAGAGCCATTGACCACCATACGATCCGCAGCGCTTAAATGGACCAAACCTTTCATCATTCTGATTTTTCCAGTCCAGCAAGGCTAATGATTGACCAGATAGTCTTCCAAGGAATGCAGGACGACGGCATCTCGTATTGTTTTGCAATTCGATGCATATGGCTTGTTTTGATGGAAAATGCCAAATGTTTCTGATATTAGATGCCAATGTAGAATTTGTGTCGATTGGTAGCTGTATTCTTTCATTCTCCTCACTTCTGGATGCATATATCATGGAGAATATCATTGTGGAATCTGTTTTCACAGACTGCACTTGGATCAGCAGAATCAAATTCAGTGCCATGAACGCGCATACAATGACAATGCAGTTGCAGCTCTTCTTCTCAGATGCCCCGAACGAATGAATCTTCAATTTGACTCGACATTTTTTCATTGTTTCGGACCAAAGAGGAGATGAAGATGTAGTTGCCTATTGTAAGATCTGAATAGTCAACATGTATAATACCGATTGTAGAAAATAATAGTTTGTATTTTGTTTTGTTCTCGAAAGATTTTCAAATATTCATTACACAGGATATTACCGGTACACGTACACGTACCGGTATGATGCCTGTCACATGCGACTGACTGAACGGTCGAAGCTGTCGAATGACTCACGTTTTCAAATATATTGTTACTGTACAGTATCTATTCGTTTTATTTTCTATCTGCAGTCTAAAAAGTTATTTGACACCACTGAAGCCATGAATAGTGCTTCTTCGTCGGTTACATTGAGGGGCAGATGTCCCCAATCTGGTGCACTGTCCCACATTGGCGAAATTATGAAGCTTGTATCCAAAAAACGAATGATCTTGTTGCCAGCTTCATCTCGCTCTCTTATCTCCCGAACTGCTTTTTCCACCAAATGGCTGTATGCATGCATTACCACAGGTGACCGCCAGTCACTCATGGGACAGCTACCAGTTCTTTCGCCGATTGGAATTTCATGGATGGATCTTAAATAGACTCTGACCTCATCTGCTCTATCAGCGAATAATCGAATAGCAGTCTCGGCCATCTGTTTCATCCCAGCATAAAACCGATCAAACAAGTATGGAAACCCTTGAAATCTACTTCCCGGCCATTGTGCAACTGCAATAATGAAAGCAGTGCAACCACGTTCCACGTAGGAGTAGTTCAATAGAGAAACGGTAATATCCTCTGGGTATTTTGCTTTGACATGGGCTACATGTTTGCCCAAACCAATTCTTTCGAACGCAGACTCAAGCTCCCGACTGTGCGAAAACCCAAAGAAGCACACTTTTGGAAAGTTTCGGGAGTCCCGTGTGATGTTGATGCGTTCACGCCAACGTTCACCAACGTTTCCCTCCCACTCAAAAGAATAAAACCCCAAAGCTGTACCGTCAGTAGGATTCTCACATATCTCTTGATCTGGGTTTCGTAGGCAGCCTTGCGGTTGATATCGGCTATGTAATGGCACTGGTTTTGATCCTAGTGTTGTTTGAAACACCCATCTTCCTTTGGGAGTAGGACCCGAAGCTGTATTTTGGTCTTCTTTAATCATAAGGTAAGATCCTTCATCAGTGATACGATTGCTGTTCGGATCTTCCATGCACTTGTGCTTGAAATCGAATGATAACCAATCTAATTCGTTTTCTTTCCTCTTTAGCGAGTTGACTCCAAAGTCCTCGCAGAACAGACCGATGACTTCTAAGAAATACATCCCAGCCGAGAGCCATTGGTATTCGTACGATCCGCAGCGCATCAATGGGCCAAACTTTTCATCAGTTTCCCTTCCCCAGTCCAGCATGGCTAGCGATGGACCAGATAGTCTTCCAAGAAATGCAGGGCGAGGGCATCTCGTGTTGTTTTTAAGCTCGATGCAAATGGTGTGATCGGATGGGAAATGCCATATGTGACTTATTTCAGAAGCCAAGGTAGAATTTTGCTTCATGGGCAGCTCCCTTCTTATGTCCCTCCCTCGTCCGGATGCATATTTCATGGAGAATATCATTGAGGCGTTCGTTTTCACCGACTGCGTTTGGAGTAGCAGTATCACGGCCGATGCAAGGATTGCACAGCATATTGCTCCCAGCTGGCGACATCCCTT